AAAAAAAACAACGCAGTTTTATACAGTTATAAGCTGGGTTTTTACTATACAAGGCGGACTTCTCTTGTATGGAATATTTCTTTATTAAAATTATTCTCTCGACAATAGTAATTTAACAATTTTGACAGAACGATTTGTCTTTTTGTTTAGTTTCTTGGTTCTCATGGAATTTTTGATCTTTGGGAACTTTGCACTTTATGGACTTAAATTTTGTACTATTTAAATTCTCATCGCCTATTCGCTCCATCATTCTCTCTTTCTCATATATACGTAGTACTCACAACTCTCTCTCTCTCTCTCTCTCACTTTCGTCTCTTTGTTTTTCTTTCTATTTATCTTTCTCTCACTCTTTGTCGGTTTCTTACTTTCTTTATCAGTCTGAATCATTCTTTCTCTCATTCTTACTCTCTCCCACTCCTTCTGGCTTTATTTTTTATATATTTTTTCCAATTATCTTTCTCCCCCCCACACACACACACCTGGCTTTATTTTTTATTTATTTTTATTTATCTTTTTCTCTCTCTCTTCCTTTGCCACACTCCTTTCCCTCTCACTCTATCTCTCTCCCCCTCTCCCCTCCCGGCCTTTCACGCTCTTTCCTTCTCTCTAACTTTCTCCTTCTTCGCCCAATAGGACTATTGTGGAAAAGACAATGTTCCACAAAATCAGGATGGACACCATTAAAAAAAATCACTCTTTGAGGCTATTGTTTTATTTTTTCTTTCTCTCTCCCTCTCCCCCTCCCTCCTTCTCTGTCTTTCTCTATCTCCCTCCCTCCTTCTCTGTCTTCTCTCTCTCCCTCCCTCCTTCTCTCCCCCCTCTCTCTCACACACACCCACACACACAATGTTCTCTTGAAACGTAGTTTTATAGCAAATTCACACAACACCAATAGGACTTTATGCCCAGAAAATGACCCGAATAAAGGTCGGCAAAAAAAAGTGTTTTTCTAAACTCCCCATTCATGACCGCTTCTCGCGAATCTAGCATATTATTAAACTACCGATCGCCAAAAAACACACATTGCTTATATTACATTGTCTATATTATTATTTATTTCGGTATCTTACTTCTACACAAAGAGACCGGATGTGAAAAAAAGGCTTGCGAAGAAGTATTGATCAACGATCATAATACAATTACCTTTCTAATGGTGGTATATTACAATTAATGTATATTAAATAAGGCAATACACTTTGGTAATTAAATGTATTAATTCTCTTATCTTTTGTTTATTTTCTTCTTCTTGACAGTTTAAATGGCACAAGGTATTAGTTTTCACACTTGTCGCACGTTAGGCTTCATTTCAATTCACAAGATTAATTAATTTTTTCGTCATTGATAATGTATGGTAATTTTCGTCATTGATATTTGTGAGGCACGAATGTAATGGTGTAATGGTGTTTTGTAAACGTAAACAGTCTGATGGTACTTTATATCAATTACATTTTCACATATTTTTTTATCTCTGAGGTTCTATTATTATTATTTTTCCGCTATCAGTTAATTGCAATGCTGAGGTTTCGTAAAGCCTGGTGACGGATGAATCTATCGCCTCTCGTCTGTAGACCTAGGTCGACCCTGTCTTGGACTACTAGTGTGACTAGCCCTGGTTCTCTTGAAACGCCGAAGAGCCCTTCCTGTTGTAGAGTGATTTAAATTCAGTCTCCTGGCGACTTTTTACAGGCTGTATCCTTCCTCTAATAATATTATGACTCTTACACTGTCATACTCTCCCAAATGCCTGACTGGACCCATTGAAAAAGGTTTAAGAATACAAATAATATTAAATGAAATCAACGAATGAAAAAGATTAACTGAAAGCGTTCTTTAGGCGTAGCAGAATGGAAGGGCATAATATTACTTTTTGTGCAAATGGGATTAATCAATACAAAAGTATATACAGGTAGTAAACAAAGCATTATTTACTGTTTATTTTGACTAATGACTCATAATTACCTGAAACTAATGTAGAAAGATAATATATTTAATTTTAAACTAAATAAATATAGTGTGCGTTAAATTTGTCCATCGGTGTTTTTGTTAAATGCTTAAATCGTTAGTAATAGTTTCAAAATCTTGATGAATGGGAAATCTTTCGAGGAATGAACTGTTTTTTCTATTTAATTTTGTTTTTGTTTCCAAATTTGCCATATCCCTGATTTTTGTCATATATAGTTAATTTTAAGTGCTTAAATTTGACTCTTCTTCCAGCAAGTCTCAATTGGGGTGAATACTGTTCTACCCTGAATATGAACTATAAAGTCGTGAAGACGGAGGAGCTTTCTTCCAACTTTCTCATCGTCCAAAATATTTTTTTTACGGCGGCGAAACTTGACCTGAAAAAAAAAAAAAATTAAAATGCATTGCATTCTACGTGTAAATGTTATATAAGAACGCGACATCAGATATCAAGGAAGCATTTTTTTCTCAACTTTGGAAATGCTTTTTTATTTGGTTTTCCATTTCTTATCATTGGATTTTCTAGCTGTATTTTCTTATTTTAAATACATTTCTATTCCAAAAGTGTAATTAATTTGTATTTATATTGCTAGGGCAAAAAGCTAAATTTCATTGTATTCCAAATATTGCAATATTTCATTGTATTACAAATATTACAAAGAACGCGCGCCATAAAAAACCAAGAAAGTTTTATCTGAAAATATTTATTAAAAAAAAGGAGGTATTTTTATATATTTTGTTTTCACATTCGTTAATAAATGTAGACTTAATATTTATTCGTTTATAATACACCAATTATACATTCATGATGATTTAGGTGCTTGAATATTTTATTATTCCATTTATTTAAAAATTACTACATCAGTTATTTAGCTTAATGTTTATTCTTAACAACAATAAACATTTTTTGCATTGTTTTCTGAATATTTTTTTAAATTTAGAAAAATACCTGATACATTTTCTCATAAGTGGATTTTATGGTTTTATTTATTTTGATTACGGATTGATTTTTAGTTAGGCGGAATTCATTTATTAACAACTCCATATTGACAAATTGAAATAAAATTCTTTCAGTGCCTATCAACAAATTCACTTTAATTAGAAAATTACAAATGGCACAGAGACGATTTAAGCAGGTGATGCATTATGTTTATTATGGTGCATCGAAAAATGCACCACCCTTTGTATACGGTACATATTGCAGTCGTAAATTTAAGATAAAGAGCTTTTTCCAAAAACTTTCTCATCGCCATCCAGTCACACAGCGTTAAAACTTCATGGTAGACCAAAATTCTAAATTTCATTGTATTCTACCTCCGATTATTATATAGGGATAAGAACGCGTCACCAAATATCAAGGAAGTAACAAATAATTTTTTTATGTCTAGGGGGGGGATCTATCTATCATAATATTTTGTATTCATATTCGTTAATGAGTTGAATATATATATTTTTATTTATATTGATTCATTTTCTTTAGGAATTTTGGTGTTTGGATATTTTTATAAAGTTTTTTTTTTTAACAAAATAAAAATACATAATTGAAAATGTACGATTTGTTTATGAAAATTATAATTGAAAAAAAATGGAAGTGAAAAAGTGTTGTTTGGAATGGAATGATTAGTTCTTGTGATGCTGTAGTGCTAAATGGATGGGATGTTGTACAAAAGGTATGGAGTTAATTTTTTTTTGTTTGGAGTAATTACAGTTGTAAATTAACCGCCGAAATTGATCGAGCTGTGGTTTGTCGGCGGTTTTTGGGGGCGGCGGTGCCGGGAATTTGTTTAAACCAAAAATTATTGTTGCATTACGTCAGAATTGCTAGTCATGTGAACCGGGCGGCCATTTTGCCGTGGAGTGCAGCCGACTGCCGAGTCTCCACAACTTTTGCCTTTGCCGTCCGACCACCCGACGTTCTTCGCCGAACCAGATTCACGCGACAGCCGCCCGGCCAGCGTCAGACGCCTTTCCGGCCGGATTTCCAACGGCGGCTCTCGGAGGATTAGCCGCCCCCGCAATTACCCTCGGTGGTGTATTTTCAGGCAGACGCGATCCCCGGTCGTGGGCCGTACCCGTACCGTGCGGCGCGTTCCGTTTGGCGGGAGCCGTTTATCTGCCGGGATCGTTCTCGTCTGAGTATTTTCGCCCTTGTCAGCCGGCCACGTGCCGCCCGATTCGCCGTCCCGCCTCCGGCCGTCGCTTTCCCCGCCGTTTTGCCTTTTTCCCCGTCATCTGATCCTGGATCCGTCCGTTTTTCTGCCCGCTCCCCCGCCCATCCCTGTATAAGCGCGTGTGTGTGTGTATGTGTGTGTGTAAAACAGGGGCGCGCTCTTACGGGCCGGTCGCAACTACGAAATGGCACTGCGCGTACTGTCGTCTCCTCAAACTATAGTGTTTTAAGTATGTTAAATCGGTAAAAATTGTGATACCGGCGCAGTATTAATTTCGATTTTTTAAGTTTTATTTATTCGTACTCGGGCGGGGTTTATCGACGTTTCCGTTTCGAGAGTCGGCCCAGTGCTCCTTTTCGATGTTTGTGTTAGACACATAGCCTAACTAGCATATAGGTTATCAATATTCGATTTATTAAATTTTATTTTAGTAATGAAAATTGAGTTCGCACCGGCTTTTTATTGGATACGCGACGTCGAATCACCGATGACTTGGAGGGAGCAGCGTCTTTAGGTGAGTTTTCACGATAGGGAGGAAATCCCCGATACTCGGTATGAGAGTAAAATTATTTGGCTTTTCTCGTAGGCCTATTAAGAAGTGGGACAGCCATTTTGAATTTTTCTTTTAATCGCTTTCGTCGGAATCCGGGATCGGGCCGGAAAAGCGTTTACCTCCGGGGGTGGACTTTTCCCGGCCCCGCCGTAACAGCGAAGGGGAGGCCGCCGGGATTTCCTCCGGGATGTCCCGCGAGTCGGCCGCCCCCCGAGCCGCCGGCCTTCCCTCCGCCCGGGGCGGCGCGGCACATTCACATTCCGTATAAACAAACCGGAGACGACTTTCAACAAAACGTCTTTTTTCTGTTTCAGGAGGCTCAGTCGAAAATGATGGAGTCGTGCAACGATTGCCCTGAAAGGGATGCTCCCATGAAACAGCACAGTCAAGAACCACCCAAAGACGGTAAACAATTTTCACTAGTAATCAGTGTTTTCTCATCCGCTCAAATCTCACCGCCTAAATTTATACTATTTGCCCTTTCGTCAGCTCACCAACTGTCACCAGGGTCTTACAGGGTATTACAATCTGTTCCAACAGAGACTTGCCTGTGAAACTTTTCATTTACAGACCCTGGTTGTAAAGTGAAAAACAATACACAATTTGTGCTAAATAACAGTCTCACTGAATTTTATTTTTACCATTTTCAATCCTTCGATCATTAATTGTTAGTAATTTTCCATATTTTTCTAGTTTTCCAATCCTCTATTGTTATTATGTCATATATGACTGAGAAAATAGTGTCATTCTTTCTACTCACCACCGTATATGCATACACATAAAACCCCTCTAAGGGCAGGCTCTTTTTGACTTGATAGAATTTACTTAATCATCCCCGATCCTTGTCTATCATATTGATTATTTATTACAACTTTGTGTAAAATTCTTAATATTGGGCACTTGCCAAAAAGTGAAAAAATAGTAGTTGATTGGTGATTTTAACCTTATGATGATTCATAATCTACAAACATTAACAAAAAAATGCTCGATTTGGTATTGCCGCAAATTATTTCTATCAATATCAATCCTTAAACATCATCTAGTAATGTCCACATTTTTTAAATTTTCCAGTTCTTTATTGTTATTATTTGTTGTTTCACTAGGCAAATAGCTTTGTTACCTTCCAGGCACTGCCATATATGGATACATATAAGAACTTCATTTGGGGTTGGGGGGTTGGACTCTTCTTCAAAATTTGATCGTCTCTGATAATCCTAGTCATGATGTTGATTACAATCACTTCCAACATTAACTATTCTCCATTTACATTCTTTGGCGAAACAATTTGCCCTCACCGCAGTTTATTTTAACCAATATTAATCCTTCAATAGTTAATTGATTAATAATTTTCCAAATTTTTCAAGTTTTCTAGGCATATATTGTTATTACAGCATTACTTAGAAAATAGGTATATTACCTTCCGAATGGTTCGGCTCCACCAAAATATATGGGTACAGCAGGCCCTCATTTTCTCTCGTCCGCGGTTGCCCCTCTAGTTGAGCTAACAGGAGACAGGGAACAGGAGAGTGGGAATGTGAATCACAAAAAACAACCCAGCGATTAGGATTCTTATTGGGGAAAAAATGTGTACGTATGTTCATATATAACATTGACAATAGGCATACACGATACAGAAAGCGTGATGGTTATGCAGCTGGAAGGAAATGCTCTGAAGCCTGAAATCCGACATGTTTTCTAATATCCGCGCTTTTTGTTATTCTAGAAGATGATTGGTACATATCCCCCATGGGTAATTAGAGTCTACTTTACACATAAAAACTTCATGGACAGTTTCATCTTTGACTTGATCATTACTATTGATCCTAGTCCATCATAGTGATCATGATAGTCTATTTCAACCTTAATAATTCCCAATATTTATAATATTGGTTCTAAAGTGAAAAACATAACTTAATTTTTTGTGCATTCAACCGTCTATGATTTACAGCCATGTTTAACACACCGCAAATTCTGAAGAAGAAACTCATTTTAGTCTTGCTGCTGTTTATTTCTACCTATAATGATCCTTAAATCAATCAATTATTAATTTTCACACTTTTTGAGTTTTCCAGTCCTCTATTTCCTCTATTGTTAGAGGTTGTTCAGTTATCGACCAACTTTGATTATAATCTGGTTTGGGATGTTATTGGGTATGTGGTCCTTCAATGAATCATACAATGATCATACAGAGTATGATTCATTGAAGGACCACATACCCAATAACATCCCAAACTCTATTGTTATGACATGTTTCGCTGAGAAAATAGCTTCATTTCCTTCCACTCGCCCCATGCTATATGGATACACATAAAATCTGAATCTTCTTTGACTGTATCATTCCTGATGATTCTAGTCAATTACAAGCTTTAATTATTCCTCATTTTAAAAAAAACTGATTCTAAGGTGAAAAACATTACTTGATTTCCGATCAGTTCACAGCCATGTACTACAACCCAAAAACTTTACAAGATTTGATTTCACTGCAGTTATTTCACGAATAATGCATAATTAATTACAAATAGACTATATTTTCATATTTTCCTGTCTTCTATTGCTATTATACTGCTTTATATCATGTATGACTTTCCTATAATTATACCTTCTATTCAGTACCATATATGGATACACATAAAAAAATGGGCAGGCTCATTTTTTACTTGATAAAACTTACTTGAACATCGCTGTGATATAAGTCCATCATCATAAATTGTTCTCTTCATTTATTTTACTATTTGTACTTTACTAGTTGTAAAGTGAAAAACAGTACTTGGTTTGTGTTTTAACCTTCTTCTGATCAGTTCACTGATATATTCCATAATCCATGAATTTTGAGAAAAAATTCTTGTTTTTCAAGTTTTTCATTTTTCTATTGTTATTATGTCATGTATCTTTGAGAGTATAGCATCAATCTTACTCACAACTACAAATGGACAATTTTAATGTAGTATATAACAAGTTAATCTTTTTAATACTAAAAAGTTCTATAAAATAAAAACGCATCTTTTTAATAATTAAGGAATTGTAGAAGTCTGTGTAAAAAACGTGAAAAAGTGATAAAATAAAAATTTAAGCTTAATCTTCAAATTCAATTGAAATAATATACATTTTTAAATTCACTCTCTCTCTCTCTCTCTCTCTCTCTCTCTCTCTCTCTCTCTCTCCTCTCATTTTTTTTCCATCAGAAAAAAACCTTCCTACATTCATACATACTTTTTAATTTTTAATCATTTGTTCATTTTATTGAATATGGATCAAAAAATGTAATTATGTGTATTGACAAATATGTAAAATAAAATAAGGTTGTTTTTTGCTTAAAATAAGTTTCAAAAATTCAAGGCACAGAAAAAAAATGTGTGAATACTTATAAACCCAGTCCCTATTAATAACAATTGATTCCAACCTAATCTATGACTCCAAGTCATGCCAGTGCAATAAATGAGCTTTGTTTCAAATAATTCCTGACATCCTTGATATTCACTGTAAACTTGATGGACTGACTGACTTTTTTGCTAGATATAAATAATCAATTAATAATACGCAAATTACCTGTTTGTATTACATAACGCTTTCACATATTGTTTACACTTTTGTAATGTAAGGTCATTATGTAAAAATTTCGAACGCCATTTACTACCTTTTCTAGTCCAATCTATTATCTTGAATTACTTATCTAAATAATATCTTATAAAATAATCTTAGAACTGCGCATCACTTCCAGTCACAATTATCTGGATTCACTATAACAACAAAAAAACGACTAATTTACCAGAGCTAAACAAAGCATTAAATAAATAATAATTGCATTCTTGAATCATTTTGACTTTAAGAGAGAAGGAAAAATCAGCAAATTCTGTCTTATAAATTTAAGTATCATTATTTAAAAATTTACTATTCCAAATGATGTCACTGGATTTTTAAAAAAATTCCTAGCAACTATTCTTGTATTAAAAAAACATGTTTAAATGTGTGGTGATTAGTGACCGTTGGTCGATAATTATTCGGAAATCGTGAAACAACCGAACCAGACAGCATCTCACGATTTCCGAATAATTAATGTTTAAAATTATTTATTTTATTTTTTTTATTTTTGTGTACCTGAAAATGAAACATATGGTACATACATCATATTCGTATACGGTACCTCTCCTATGGTTGAAACATTGCTATTTAAGCATGTTGATTTCTTCCTTTGAGTCTTACTTTTCTATGACTTTGCACTTAGTACAAATTTTAATCTAACACTACATTAAAAAACAATCCTACTCAACCTTAAACGGAATCAGGTTAACTGGAGGACATTATGTTCAAATAGTCTGTGTTTGTTATGGATCAAAGAAAATGCTTTGACATACACAAAAGTCAATCTCCGATAACCGTAACGTTAAATTCAATCAACATTTGAATCTGAAATTTGCATAATTAACTATTGATGAATGATTATTAATTTTTAAAATTAATACTTTGATTTATATATTATATAGGTTATAGATTTATATAGGTTTATAAGCCTTAGGCCTCTTAGTTATTCAGTTAGTTTAACGGATGAGTTTTCAGGAGTGTAGCCATGATGTAAATGATTAGGAACTGCCCAAACCCCTTAACACAAGCAGGGGGTAAGCAGGCATAAGTGTCGCACACGTTCTCTCATTCCCACCAGTCGCCTAGTTGGCTGAGCTACTCAAAGAAAACTTTGCCGTTACAATTTTTAATGTGGAACAGTGAAGAAATTCGTATTATTCCCATGATAGGATGTGAAATGTGAGGATTATAGCAACAAAACTAAAAGGAGTGGAGGGAAGGGGCACGGCAGTAGTGAGATTAATTTTGCAATAATGAATAAACCGACATTTTTCTCTAACCAGGTTCTTGGGTTCTAACCCATTGGGAAGAGAAGTTGATTCCACATGTTGCTTAGTGTGAAACCAGCCAAGAAAAGTCTTCACATGGCAGTCAACTAGGCAACTTAGTTGAATTAACTAAACTGCCTTGTTGAAACAGGGCGTAGAGATTCAAAATTGTGATTCAAAATTCATTGTTGACAACCTCAGAGATTCAAAATTGTCTCACTAGTATGTGACCAAATAAATAATCTATCTTCAAGGTGACTGCATTGACCCATATTAATTTCACCGTTTATAACAACGAACTTTAAAATTGATGTGATATTAAAAAAAAAAAGTTCAGCGTGTGATGGTAAATTCACTGGATCTTTTTTTTTTTAAATAAAAATGTCATTGCTTACTCATCATGAGAATTTTTTATTATGCATTAGTTTTATAGTTTACAGCTTTATTTGTGATAGGGTTTTCCTTTCTTTTTACACCAGATTATCTACCTATTGTATCTATCTTGATTGAAAATACATTTAGAAGCAAAAATTCTGAACTTATTCCCCCACTTATTTTTTTTTTTAATAACCTTCAATAGTTTAGTGATTATAGTTCAAAGTTCTCCAATTTCTTGCCATTTTATTTACTAATGTGTTCACTTTTATCAGTATTATAAAATTTTCAAAACAATTGAGTAAAATGGCTATGTCTGAATGTTCAGTCCTACTAGAAAGGTTAAATGCTCTCTTGTGTTTATTTTTATTTTTTTTCTACGTGGATGTAAATTTAGTTCAGGTATTTTTTTACTGTATTTTAATCTACTGTGGAAAAAAGACACACCTTTATACACCTCGCCTTTTTGTTGAGAAAATATTTGGGTAGAAATAAGTTTTAAAGGATTTTTTGTGCACATTGGGGTTTTATTGTGGAAAAATGATAACAAATTGATTACCCAATGTGTCATCCATCTCTTGCCACTACTTTTAATCCTGGCGGTATGCGAATACTGCTTTTCTATGAAAGAAACCTGGCCTTTAGAGGCTATGAAAGAACCACCATTTTTTTGCATTCCTCATAAAGACAGAAGTGTTGCTCGGATATGTCACATAGTTGGAAGGAGCAATGTCAAAAGAATACGGCGAGTAGTGTAAGATATCTCATTTGAGTGATTCCAAGTAGATTTTGACTAGTGTGACGACATGTGGTCAAGCAGCAAAATAACTTTGTCTTGTCTCTGCTCATACTGTGGTTGTTTCTCCTTCAGTGCTCGGCTCAAACACGTCAATTATGGTCGGTAGTGATTTATGATTTTGTTCGGTTTTTGCAGCTCATAATTCACTGCACTCAGTCGGTCCAACCGCATGAGCTTGAATCCATGAATATTTGGCTTCGCCATTTACGTTGCTGCATAGCATGACTTACTCCATGATTTCTCTCGCTTCGGATTGTGTTAATGAATCTACTTTTGTCACCAGTCACGATTTGAAGGAGGCAAAAACTTCTGTTTCTGTCTTTTGAGCAGCTGTTTGGAAGTGCAAAATTATTTTCAATGTCTCTTTGCTTTAATTTGTATGGCGCTCAATTTGCTTACTTGTGGACTATTCCCATGGCTTTGAGGCATAATGAAATTGCTTGTTGAGTCACTTCCAGATTCTGAAAGTTATAACGTATGACGTGAGTCTTCGTACAATATGCCTCCAATTCTGCATTATCAAACGTTTCTGGCCTTCCTTCATTTTCCTTACTCTCCTTGTCAGAATCACCACTTTTGAACATCTAACACTTTGAGATGAACTTGAAGTTAAAAGAGCAATGGTCGTTATAAGCCTCGTACAGCAATCGATGACCTTGAGCTGCTTTTTTCTTCAAATGAAAACAGAAAAGTAAATTTCTCTAATGATCCCAAGTATAGTCCTAATAAAAATAATCCATTATAGTCAATGAAGTTGTTGGTCATCTGCAAAAACGTTAAACTGATCAACACTTAATCATTCGTTATCAGTCTATACCTACGGGTTTAGATTCCACTTTAATGCGTTTCAGCTAAACAAAGCTAAAGCTGTGATAGTAGACAGTCCAAGTAGAGTGTGATCAAGTGTCATTCAGTTTTATATTGCATGATCCAACTTATTATCCTCATGCAATATTTTATTCATATGGATAAAAATCTCCAAGAGAGCAGCATTTCACCTGACTGTAAAAATTAACACCCTCCCAAGTTAGCAGGTAATTAGTAAAAACGTTTTATGTGTTGTTCAGCCGATAAAACTTTTTTGATTAGTAAGTTAGAGTTGCAGAAAATTCTCGTCGTCTTTTATTCACGTCTTACATATATATTTTTTATACTTGTGTTATTTTTCCGTTTTAAATATGTCATATAGATGTAAGTATAATAGAGTACTATTTGTGTGCCCTTCACCTTCTAAGATAATAACAGTTATATGCTACTTGATTCTAAATTAAATTCTAAAGTCAATCCATACATTCTCAAGGTTAGAAAATTCAATTAAATGTAACTATTGTCTCTTTTAATTGTTACAGAAGTTATTTATACATCCTGGTTGGGTTTATTAAAACAGTGGCATAGTTTTGCTATTAGGATGCTTCTGAATTCTCAGTGTTCAGAGTGCCACTTAATGATAGTGTCTGTACCTTTTGGTGAAGTGTTAATGGTTACCTTAAATTAATTACTATTTACCAATCTGGTACCACAGTTCTAGTTGTAGTTTCACAATTGAAGATAATACATAAGGCAGTTGAATCCCCCATTGTAAGGGTTCATTTCTTTTCTTGTGTATTTTGTTTTCCTGTCCCTAGTAACCCTACGAGACAATTTACTGATTGCAGTTGGTAGTATTTACAGTATATTTACAATACAATTAATTAAGGCTTTTAGTTGAGATAAAAAAGTCAATGGCACGAGCGGGATTCGAACCCACGATCTTTTTATCTCAACTAAAAACCTTAATTAATTGTAACATATTAATTGGTCAAGCAGACCATGAAATTAGTGAATTTATTTTTACAATATTGATAGACTTTTTTTAACATAGATTTTTTTCTGTTTATTCTAGTCTGTAAATAGATTGAAGTCCATTTTATTTATAAAGTTTTCAAATAGTTTCACTGTTGTTGGTTTCGTGATATCACTCATTGGCCAGCTGGTGCTCACTTGAAGAGTGATGTCAGAATCAGAATACTCATAATGTTGTCGAAATGAGGATAATTATATATTAGGTGGTTCCAGTTCTGTATGGTTGTGCCACTGGGTCAAGACAGGCTTTCAGCTAAGCGGAAATGAAGGAGGTATTGTAAGTGTTTCCCATGCCCGCTGAGCACTTGTGTCACTTTAACTGTTATTTTGAAGTCGGAGTCGAGCCTTGATTGGATATTAAAGAAAAATGCCTTCATGTATCTACTGTTTTCCGTTTCATACCAGAGGGATTCCCATGGTTGAAAGGCCCTTAATTTACACATACTGCGCAGGAATGTGTCCTCGGGATTGTAGCAAAGGTTATTTCCAGGTGTCCGTCTTTTGCCATCTTCATTACCAGGAACACCTGTACAAGCCCTTACCCGCGCGAATACTGTCCAGCATGTTTTCAAGATAGTTGACCTCCTCTCTTATTTTGTAAGCCAATGGGGTGATATTTTTATTGTTGTGGATCAATAGTAGAACCACTTGGCTGTTGGTGTTGACTGCTCTCTTTCCGTTGGGAACCACAGTCTGCGTCCGCATGCACATAGCGCGCGCATGTGTGTGTGCGTTCATGGGTGTGTGTGTTCAAATTCATTTGTTCTTTATTTTATTTCTGTTTTACTCCAGCACCAAAAGATTTATTTAAGACTTTTACTTTTACTCTTGGCCATGTTTGGTCTTAGTTCCATCCATTAGTTTTTAATTGTATTTTTTTTTAAACTACAATTTCATATCATGCCTCTATTGGATTCACTTGTTTACTGATAACCAGTTGGGGTTGTGCATCGTATTTACATGTTAGACAAGGTGAAGTTGGTTGGTTTTTAAACATATTATGGTCTTAGTTACTTTATATCTTTGGGTTATTTTTATGCATTTTAATTTTTGTTTTGTTTTTCAGAGGTGAAATTGAATGGTGAGATTAATGGCTCTTATGAGGAAGAGGAGGACGACTTAGTTGACGATAGATCTCAAGAAGATAGCCATACAAATGGTGAAATTACATCCACCACTGATCAAGTGCCTTCACAAGAGAATGGTATAGAAAAAATGGAAATGGATGTCGATGTCAACACCGAAGCTGAGACCGAGCTCGAAGAAATTGAAAATCATACAGATCTTGAGCATGAGGCCGGCCATGAACCCTGTTATGACGAAGAGGAAGTTTCTGAGCTGATGGAGGCTGACGACGACGACGACGATGATGATGAAATCCTCGAACTGCCTGCTGGTGATGGTAGCGAAAAGGAAGTTAGTGATAAAGAGGATTATACGGGTGTGGATGATAGTGAAGTGAAAGACTCTGATGATCATATGGACCAAGACAGTGAAAACAGTGTTAGTGAAATTAATAGGACTGAAAGTGACAGCCTAACTGTCACTCCGAGCAACGGTCGCTCGGAAGAACAGACTGATAAATTAAAATACGAGTTGAGAAATGACAGAGATAGGGAAGCTAAAAAAATTCAACTTAGTAAAGAATTAGAGGACCTTACTAAAATTGGATCCAGAGGATCTCTAGAAATAACACTTGTCAAAAAGGAAGCACCAAAAGATAAATTGAAAAAAGAAGAGGCCAAGAAAAGAGAAATAGATGTTGTTACAATAGCAGATGATTCAAAAGATTCCGTGACGAAGACACCGGAGAAAGTTTCTGAAGATGATGACTGCATTGAAATTTCTCCTGAAAAATCTGCGCCATTAAAAAAGAAGAAAACACAGCAACCTATAAATGTAACACCTCGACGTAGCTCTCGTAACATAAACAAAAATAAATCGTACTCTGACAAAGATGTCTATATAGAAGAAATAGACAAAAAATCTGATGATGACATACAGGAAATTATACCTACTGATCCGTTGGCAGATGACAAACGGAAAATAAAGAAAACCACCATTGTTGTTAATGATACCAAAAAATTGGTTGAAATTGCTGCAGGGAGCAAGCAAAATAGATTGGGGAAAAAAGAGCCTACATTGGTCATCATAGACACAAATTCGATATTGTCTGGTAAAGGCCCAGTTCCTGTAAGCCAGCAGTCAAATCAAATGCCAAACGCAATGTCTCAGATGTCTTTTAATCAGTCTGCATCAAGGCAAGGGTTTTCTATGGTTCCTGTCAATGTGAATGCATTCCAGAACAAACAAATGAAATCTACACCATCTCCTCAGCATCAAATTCAACAATCACAGACCAAACCTGTTATTTTACCATCTTTAACAGATGACATGTACGTTGTGGAAGCGCCTTCTTTCATAGTTCCTTATGTTTATGAAAAACCTCCGGTCACTCCGTTGAAAGATTATGTAGATGACATAGAGAAAGCTATTAAAGAGCAAGAAAAGGAAGAGAAAAGAAAGAAGAAGGATAAAACTAAAAATGACAAAGATTCTGACAAGGCCAAAGATGAAACTACATCTGATAAAGTAAAAGAAGAGACATCTGAGAAAGATGAAGAGGGGAAGAAATCAGATAAAGAAAAATCAGATGAAAAAATGGATGTTGACAAAGAAGTTAATGAAGAAACTGAAAAGGATAGTGAAAAAGGAATGGATATTGATTCAGAGGAAAAGGTTGATAAAAAGGACTTAAAATCTAAAGCTGATGACAGGAAATGTCAAAAAGAAAAAACTGATGATGATATTGAAAGTGATACTAAGAGTATAAAAGATGATAAAAGGAGCGAGAAAAGTGATACCGAGACTGACGATGAAGGGAAAGACAGTGATTCTTCCAGTAAGAAAGATAGCGATAGCGTTGAAATAGTATCTGACCGAGGCAAAAGAAGTGAAAATTACTTTGAAAATCCTCTTGGAAAATTCTTTATGCAAATTGGTGTGAATTTAGTACAGGAACACGTTCAAACCGACCTGTTGAGAAATCAAAAAAGAAAACAAGACAGAGAAGGGAAGAACTGTCCCGCTGAAGTACAAATGGCCATAGATTCTCTTCTAAGAACCTTAGAATTTAGCAAGGAGAATAACAAGCCTTACAAACTCGAAATGCAAAAGTGTAAACTTTGTAATTTCAAAACTGAATCGGCATTGGTCATGGCACACCATTTAGAGACGCCTCATATGAGAAATTACGTTTATAGGTGTAATTTCTGTAACTTGGAAGTCCGGAGTCCTCATGATATCCTCTTTCACATGGAGGCTGAGCATAATGTCAGAGGCAGACTGGAAAGAGCGCCGGCTTATCATCAGTGTCCCAACTGTCCGTTTGAAGACAACCAGAAAGGAAAGTTAAGCCGACATCTCCTATCATGTGCAAAGAAATACAAACCAGAGAGGAATCAAGTAAGTACACGCAGTCTATTTTGAAAAAAAAAATAAAAAAATTACAACTTGTTTTAATTTACAGGAACCGCCTATGGACTGGGAACCGCCGGCTAAAATACCCAGAGTCAGAGGTTCTAGGATCGGTTTGGGTGGTGGCTCCCTCTATTCAGCTTCCCTAGCCCCAAGAGCGGGTGTTCCGATGGCTAGGTTACCCTCTCCATCGGGTCACTCGGTCCTGGCCTCTAGGGGTAGGGGGAGACCACCCATTTACATCAATAGAAATCTACCTGATGGTAGATCGTCTCCTCATCACAAATTCTCTCATATGCGAGCAGGAGCAGGTCAGTTTCACTTTTTCATTATAATATTTAAACAAATTATATAAATAACTAACGTTATGTTTCTTTCGCTATAAGAGTTAACAATGGTTAAAGCCTTTCTGTGCATATTGCCGATTAATTTATTGTTTACATTTATAATGAAATAAAAAGACTGATACATCCAAATGTATAACAATAATAATATGGTACTTTATTTTTTAAAAATTACAAAATTTACATTAAAAAAATTATACAAAAGCAGTAGTACACATTCACAAATAGGTTTATAAATTTGTTTTTCTTATTAATTTTTTAAATCGTAAATAATAGATGTCAGTTTTTTCTTTTATTGAATTAGACTCTCATAATTTTTAATACAATTAATTAAGGTTTTTAGTTGAGATAAAAAAGTCAATGGCACGAGCGGGATTCGAACCCACGATCTTCGGCTTGATACGCCGCTGCTCTACCACTTGAGCTATCGTGACCTCGATCCACTCGGACACCAACCTCCCATCTCAACCACACCTTTTGAATTTTCCCTCCTTTTTGCCATTTTTCTTTGTCTCAACTAAAATCCTTAATTAATTGTATGATATTAATTGGTCAAGCGGACCACGAAACTAGTGAATTTAATAATTTTTAATGTTATTTTATTAGTTGTCTTAAATATTTTTCTAAGTGGTTGGGTGTGTGCATGGAATTTTTTTTTTTTTCAAATTTCAACTTTCACCCTTATAAAGGTGATCCTTTATTAGCTGCTAGCTCTGTTAGTCCTAGGATGGGAAAAATCCTGTTGAAAGAAATAGTTAAGAAAACAGTAATTGATACCAAAAGTCAGGCAAGAATAAACTGCAATGTTATGATATGGAAGCAGACAAAATTAATTTGAGGCATTGCTTTCTACACAAGTTTGATCTTGGACATAGCGAGGCAGATAGATGCCTGTCCAAATTTATGTGGAATTTACAGTGTTAACACGTAGTAACTGAATGTGTAAGCGAACAGTGTTTCCAGACGTTTTTGTAATGGCGAGATGAATCAAAGCCTGTTGTGGAATATTTAACAAGCTTATAAGTGACAACTTATTAGTGACATTGGAGGACGAGGACAAATTATCAGTAGCAGAGCTATCAAATTTCATGTATATCTCATAAACAATAGAAAGAACAATCGGATCTCTTGTAAAATTTGGTCCATGGGTTCCCCATGAATTATCTTCAGGAACAAGGAAGACCTTGTGGCTTGTTGTGTTTCACATGTGAATATGAATAAATAGGAGGAATAAATAAATTATTTCCTATTTAGTCACTGAAGATGGATGAGAAATGGCTCAATAAAAATGTTTTATCTTTAAAACATGGAAGGATCATTTGTAAGGACTGAAACTGTTGCCGATGTCAAGAACAGTATTGCCTCATTATAAAATTCTATTGCATGTTCAGTGGGATATTCAAAGAGTAATTTATTGGGCACTGTTTCGGCTGAGAGGGTGCGTGCTGGATCAATGTTGAAGGAAAAACATTCAATCTAGTGAATAGATGCGACATCATGTTTCTCCATGACAATGTCATGCCTCACACAACTACACTCATTCAGAGTAAAATCTCTAAGTAAGGCTGGCAACAAACGTGCCCCTCTCTTGTGTTTTCCAGACTGTTCCTTCAAATTTTTACTTGATCTGCTCCCTAGGGACCACTTATAAGTCAAGGAACAAAAATAGTTTGAAAATTAGACAAAGATTTCTTCTTCGGTACGTTAACAAACTTTTTCAAAAACGGGATATTTCTGCTACCAACATTGGCAGTGTTATAGAAAAAATGTTTTTTGTTTGCAAATAGAATGAATTTATAGTTTGAAAGTTTTTTCTCCCCTGTAAATCTGAAACACCCTGTTGTATAACTTAATTGAAGATTTTTTTTAAATTCAATAAAATGTAATCAAACCCTATGTTATTAATGAGATAGGATGATACACGGAAAATTCAGAGCATTGGGTTACGAATTACCTGTGATTAGAATTTTCTGTCTGATCTATCGTACAAATTGTAGAAAAGTTGATTACTTGAATTTAATAAGTCATCATAATAAGTAGTAATCATAATAAGTCATAATAAATCATCTTTCAATAATTGATAATAATATAATTTAAAGTCTTGGACATTTAGAACACTGGGTTGTGAAGAAGCCGTTTTTATCTTTCTTTCCTTCCCCTCAATAAGGCTGTGACCTCCTTAGTGGTGATTAAGCCTCAAGTCTATACAAGTCAGCAGTGCACCCCGGCCCCTTCAGAACGAACCCCCCACTATGGCAGCCACAAGCCTGGAAAGCCACGGATCGCGCGCAACTAAGGCTTTTAATCTTAATATTGTGCACAGGGTTTTTTCGAGGAAGGGTCAGTGTGTAGTCACCATTGACACCTCCTCCAAGATTCCTGGAGATTCTGTGATCTGAGTCCTGGGAGGCTCCGCCAACATGGGGGTATGAACAGAGGAAACAAGAGTTGAGGGGATAGGAAATTAAATGGCATTTATTAGTTATTTGTCTGTTAAGAAGTTAAAAATTTTGTTTATTGATGTTGGATTATTGTTTAATGTGGATTGGAGGTCTTTGAAGAATCATTTAATCCAAAGCAATAGAAATTCTTTTTTAAAAAAAATTTTTTTTTCTAATTTGTACTATAAATTCAAAAAATGCATGATAGATCGTTTTGTTTGATTAATAAATTGTCAAGTTATTCCCAAACAGTACAAAACATTTTAATAGATGTTGTAGATGTCAACATTTGTGGAAATTGGATTATAAAGTAAAGTTAAATAAACAATATGACATTATTTGTATATTTTACTCTCCTATTTGTATTGGCAGATTAGATTTTTGCCCTATCTTCAAATTTTGAACAAACTTGGAATTTTAGAGTATATTTACATTTATTTTTATCATTTATTAGTTAATGGTTTTTTTACAAGAACTATTTTGATATTTTAACCACACACAATGGGAGTCATGATGTTTCATACAAAATTCGGAGCATTGGGTTATGAATAATCTGTGATTAAATCCATATCTTTTTGTAAATCTGGAAATTTCATTTCTACTTTTTGAATGTACAGACCAATATATTATTGGTATATTTTATTGATCCATTTGTATGGGCAGATTTTTGCCCTATCATAGAATTATGTATAAACCAGTAATCTATCAACCAATTATTTTTGTCATTTATATTTGAGCGGTTTTGATAGGGGTTTTTCATATGGACTATGCAGATATTATTTTTAAGGTGTGCATAATGGGAGACATGATGATACATATAAAATTCAGAGCATTGGGTTATGAATGACTTGTGATTAGAAGTAATTATCTGATCTCCCAAAAAATACATATAAATTTCAGATCATTGGGTTTTGGATAACTTGTGATTAAATTCTTATTTGAACCCCCAAAAAAATCATATAAAACACACAAAAATACATTTAAAATACAGATCATTGGGTTATGAATGAATAACTTGTGATTAGAATTCCTATTTGATCTTTCAAAAAATTCAGAGCATTGGGTTATGATTTACCTGTGATTAAAAGGTTTAATCTGATCTCTCAAAAAGATTAAGAAACATTGGCCATAAAGCATTTGAATAAACTGGAAATTTTATAGTATTTTATGTTGTTGACACATAACATGGACACATTCATAATAACATGGTTGATATTATCTTAATCCATATATGTTTAGTGAAACCATATGAACTATGTCAATTAATTATCCTTTTTATCTAAGGTGTTAGTTGAGATTTAAAAAAAAGGTCGTGGGTTTGAATCCCACTCATGAAACATAACTTTTTCATCTCAACCAAGAGCTTAGATAAAAAGAATAATTATGTTGATATTGTTTTGAAATGTGAATCAATGGGAGATATGATGATACATGAAACGTTCAGATCATTGGGTTATGATTTACCTGTGATTAGAAGTTCTCATCTGATCTCTTTCTCTCTCTCCCTCTCTCTCTCTCTCTCTCTCTCTCTCTCTCTCTCTCTCTCTCTCAAAAAAAAAAAAAAAAATTAATGATAATGTCATTTGAATAAACTGGAAATTTAGAGTATTTTCATTTATTTTTGTTGTTTATCTCTGAACGGTTTTTATAGTGGTTTTTCGTAAGGACTATGCAGATATTATTTTTAAGGCGTGCATAATGGGAGACATGATGATACATATAAAATTCAGAGCATTGGGTTATGAATAACTTGTGATTAGAATTTCTTATCTGATCTCTCAAAAAAATCAATTAAAATACGTATAAAACTACAATAAATACATATAAAATTCACATCATTGGTTATGAATAACTGGTGATTAGAAGTTTTTATTTGATCTCTCAAAAAATACATATAAATTTCAGATCATTGGGTTTTGAATAACTTGTGATTAGATTCTTATTTGATCTCTCTTTCTCTTTCTCTCTCTCTTTTGCTCTCTCTCTCTCTCAAAAAAAAGAAGATAATTACAATTAATTAATTAGTTGAGATAAAAGAGTCAATGGCACGAGCGGGATTCGAACCCACGATCTTCGGGGGTTCAGCTATCGTGGTAGATACCTCGATCCACTCGGACACTAACTTCCATCTCAACCCCACCTTTTGAATTTTCCCTCCTTTTTGCCATTTTTCCATTAATTAATTGTAATATATTGGACAGGTGGACCACGAAATTAGTGAAATTGATGATAATGTCATTTGAATAAACTGGAAATTTAGAGTATTTTCAATTATTTTTGTTGTTTATGTCTGAGCAGTTTTTATAGTGGTTTTTCGTAAGGACTATGCAGATATTATTTTTAAGGCGTGCATAATGGGAGACATGATGATACATATAAAATTCAGAGCATTGGGTTATGAATAACTTGTGATTAGAATTTCTTATCTGATCTCTCAAAAAAATCAATTAAAATACGTATAAAACTACAATAAATACATATAAAATTCACATCATTGGTTATGAATAACTGGTGATTAGAAGTTTTTATTTGATCTCTCAAAAAATACATATAAATTTCAGATCATTGGGTTTTGAATAATTTGTGATTAAATTCTTATTTGATCTCTCTCTCTCTCAAAAAAAAAAAGATAATTACAATTAATTAATTAGTTGAGATAAAAGAGTCAACGGCACGAGCGGGATTCGAACCCACGATCTTCGGAGGTTCAGCTATCGTGGTAGATACCTCGATCCACTCGGACACTAACTCCCATCTCAACCCCACCTTTTGAATTTTCCCTCCTTTTTGCCATCTTTCCATTAATTAATTGTAATATATTGGACAAGTGGACCACGAAATTAGTGGAATTAAAAATTGATTAAAAAATGACTCTCAAAAAATCAATTCGATGTGCTTCGTGCATGAATGTTAGATAAGATTCCTGCTAATCGTGTTGCACCTTGGCTATTACATTTTATTGTGATTGGAGATATATTTTCCAACACGTTATTCAGGAGTGAATTGAAATGAGCAGCCTCCTTTGCTGCCTCTGTCAATAACATGTATTCAGTCTCAACACTTGATAGTGCAACTGCCCGTTGCTTTCTGGCTTCCCATGAAATTGCTGCTCCTCCTAATTAGAATATGAGTCCTGTGTATGACTTTCTATCAGTTAATGAGTTGCCCCAATCTGTGTCACAACATGCCTCAATAGGTTTGCCAGTCTTCTTATAACTTAACCAAAATCTGGTGTGCCTTTCAGGTAGCAGTTATCGAATAGGCGGAGAGAGTTCACTGTATAGGCTATACCAGGTCTTGTAGCGACAGCTATGTACATGAGGGATCCTATTAATGATTGAAATGGTAACATCCTCATGATTTCTTGATCTTCTTCCGCCGGCTTCTTCAATACATTGCAAACCTCTAAAAGTGTATTCAGTGGTTTACAGTCTTTCATCCCATATTTGTTAAGGATGTCGAGGATATATTGTTTTTGTGATAGAAATATCTCCTTTGAATTCTTTCCATGTTTAAAAAAATCAGACAGTAGATAATTCATCCTGAATTTGTTCATTATGCTGGTCTTCATACTTAGCAACCATTTGAAATCAGTTGAGGCTATGATAATGTCGTCTACGTAAATGCCAACAAAAAGAAAGTTCTTATTTTTCTTCTTGAAGTAGAGACAATCAGCATCTGTTGGTGTGAATCCCAAATCTGTTAAAGTGTTGTCCATTTTCTTGAACCATTGCCTGCCGGATTAAGTCCATACAAGGCCTTCTTCAAGCTGCACACCTTATCATATCTTGAATTTGTTGAATCATCTTTTGGGATTCGTCTCTAATTACTTTGTCATCGGACTTTGTCAACTCTTGTAATGAGTCTTTCAGGTTATTTGGTATTTCCATGAAAATCATTTTGTCCAAGTCACCATTTAAGTAGGCACTTTCAACATCTAACTGGTGTATGCTATTTCTAATTCAACAGTCAATGCTGCCAATGTTCTTACAGTACTTAAACGGATGACTGGTGCGAAGGTCTTGTTGAAATATATGCCGGGGCGTTGACCGTACCCTTTTCGCAACTAATGTAGCTTTTTTCACGTTAGTTTTTCTGTCCGGTGAAATTTCATTTCTAAGTACCATTTGACAGTCGATCACTTTTCGATCTTTGGTTTGTCACATATAGTCCATGTCTTATTTCGAATCAGGGATGTGTATTCTTTAATTATAGCTTTTTTCCAAGCCAATGATTCAGGGCCACTTACAGAATCTTTGTAATATACTTCACAGTTGTTGACAATGTTGGTCGGTTCTTCATTTTCTTCCCTGTCTTTGTCTTCTTCTTCTATGTTTTTATCTTCATCTTCCACTTCTGTTCCTTTTTCATTAACAATCGTTGTGTATCCCTTGTGTGGTCTTCTCGGCTTTCCAGTTCTTATGATTTGTGGTTTTCCCCTTCCTCTCGTGTTTATTGATTTATTTGATTCAGTTTCTTTACTTTCCTGTTGTGTATCTGATGTCAGTAATTATTGGTTCTACGTTGTAAGGGGGCATCTATAATATTTCCTTTGATGAGTCATTTGCTGTGTCATTGTTTCTTCATGTTCAACCAATTGAATTTCTTCTAACTCGTTTAAGAATTTCACGTCTCGTGTAATTCGGATTTTGCTGTCTTCGGTAGACCATACGCGATAGGCCTTACTTTCGTTCGAATAGCTTGTAAAGATACATGGGTGAGACCGATGTTCAAACTTTGTTGTTTTGGCTTTTGTTCAAAAAGTACACCTTGCATCCGAATTTTATAAAATAAGCTACAGTAGCGCACTTTCCAGTCCAAATTTTTGCGAGGGATTTCTCCGTGTAAAGCATTAATTGGACATCTGTTTCTGATGTAATAAGCTGTAGATATGGCTTCTGCCCAAAATTTTTCGGGTAGTCTAGAATCTATAAGCATGCATCTGGCTATGTCAAGATATGTTCGATTAATGCGTTCTGCGATGCCATTTTGTTGTAGTGTATTGGCAATGGTTAATCTTCTTTTAATGACGCATTGCTCCAGAAAATCATTAAATTCATTTGAGATATATTCCCCTCCATTGTCGGATTGTAAACATTTTATTTTGCAACCTTTCTGGTTTTCTACCATATTCTTGTAGGTCTTTGAATGTCTTCAAAGTGTCACTCTTTTTCTTTAGGAAATACACTTCAGTCCATCTGGAGGCATCATACATGAATTTAATAAAGTATTTGGCTCTGTCTAAAGAGTTAATTTTCATAGGACCACAAATATCAGTATGCACAATTTGGCAATTTTTAGGGAAAGGCATTTTTCCAATTTTGGGGTAAATGCAGTAAATGACAAAAATTTGGCCATAAAGCAGCCGATTGTAGATCATCATCAAAAGCTAACCAAGTTGGATTAAACACAGTGTTATTCATATATGCTAAAGATAACTGAAATAAAAATCGTTGGTGTCTAGATAGCGGGTGTTCCTCACATATGTGTTCGGAAATTGAATGTTCTGACAATATTGAAAAATCAAAAGAAGAAAACGTTTGTTTAGCCGATTGATCATTAACCAAAGTTACAGGTGAAGGAAAGGTTAAAATAAACATTAATGACGGAAAATCCAATAAAACTCTTTCCCTAAACTAAACCTTATCTGTCCCAGAACTACGTACAAACTTAATGTCAGTCTCAAAAGTTACTGATAACGGGTGTGAAGTTACTTTTATTAAAAATAAAGCAGTAATCTCTCTAATTTTAAAGGAAATAACATAGCCGTGGCTGACAGAATAAACAAATTATATTTTATCAGAGAAAGTAAGAATATCAACACCATTAATTTGATTAATTCAAATTTTTTCATAATAACTATGTGGATATTGTTTTGAAATGTTCACCAGTGGGAGAGAGATGATGATACACCAAAAATTCAGAGCATTGGGTTATGATTTACCTGTGATTACATGTTCTTATCTGATCTCTCAAAAAAGTAAAAAAATTAACATAAATGTTGAGTAGATGACCGTTATGAATTACTTAGTTTGAAGATTGGAATGCTCAGTTAGGTAACTGGTTATCAAATCAAAATTTTCAAATGAAAAATTGACCATTTTGTACATCATGAAATATCATTTGAATAAATTGGAAATGGTATAGTATTTTCCATTATTGATACTTTTTTTTTAAATAACTATGCTGATATTGTTATGAAATGTGCACCAATGGGAGATATGATGATACATGGAAAATTCAGAGCATTGGGTTATGATTTACCTGTGATTAGAAGTTCCTGTCTGATCTCTCGGAACCATTGTGAAAAAATAGCTTAACTTTTAAAATTAGCATATTTATTTTTCTTGTTTACAAGTACAAACAGTTAAAAAACAAAGTTATTTATTCACAATTTTGTTGTGGTGCACATAATAAATGGCATGATATGTGGAAATTCAGAGCATTGATTTTTGAATAACGCATGATTAAAAGTTACTATTGTATCTATACATTTTGTATTTCAGAAATCACTATTAATTTTGATTTTGTATTACTGACTTTTTACAAAATATCATTTTCAATTATGATTATGTTATTCATTATATATGGAAAATTCAGAACGTTAGGTTGTAACACTAACTGTGATTAGAATTTCCATTTGGTTCAATGGAAATGCACATTTTAAATAGGCTGGCTATGACCACAACAATGGACATTTAAGAGCTGTAATATAATGAACAACTCATTAAAGAGATTTTCTAAAAATTATAGTTACAGTTTTTTAAAACAATTTTGTTATTGAATTTTTTTTTTTGTTATTAGGTATGGTTTTTAGACCATCAGGATCAAACGCACAGCCACCAGTCCTGTTACCATCACCGTACAACAATTTATATCAGGTACCACAATTTCAGTATGAGTTTTAATTACACGCATGCACAACAAAGGTGTTTGTTTTTCAATTATGATGATTTTAAATTTTTATTAATAAAAAATAATTAACAACTATAATAATAATTGTGTAAATAAACATTATTTTAACGTAATTCTTTATTGATTTTGAGGATTTGGAAAAGGAATCTTCCTTTGCTAAATTTCTACCTCTTCAAAAGCCTCTTCTTTAATCATGTTTTTTCTTTTGTAAATTTTTGTTTTACGTATTATACCGGTTGTGGGAGTTGTTGTGAGAGATTGCGAATGTTTGGTAGGTCGAGAATGAGCCTTATAGGCCCTTACCACTTCCGGTTGCGCTTGTTTCCAACATCGCAGCTACTAGTCAGGTACCACCCTATTTCTTCAACCTGAAAACATTTTGTCCCCGTGTAGAGATGGAAATAGTAACAATTAAATTTAATTTCAATTGTAGTTTTATAAAATATGAAAAATTTTATCTGTTGGCAATACAACAAAATTTTTAAAAATATTTTATTGGCTTTTTTTGTTAAATTATTATTATTTTAAATATAGTATACAGCTAGTTAATGGTTCAGCTAGGAATATTGAGAACATATTCTTTTTAAGACAACAAACATTTTCCATCTCTATCAATTCTTTATCTAATTTCTTATTTAAACATCTTGTACGCATGAAATAACTATTTCTTCTTAGCATGATTATGTTGTTTATCTGGTTTTTAATGTTTAGTTGATGGAACAATGTTTTCCCTTTACCCCCTCCCCCAAAAACTGATTTTATAAAATTGATGTAAAATTGCTTTCTCTTGTACAGAAAGGAAATTCAGCTTCTTCTGTGGCTGCTGCAGCAGCAGGTGCGACTGCAAAACTTCTGCAACAGCCAAGCATTTCCATTACCCCGCTACCTCGACAACCGACGTCTGTCATCAACACTTCGCCTCAAATGCAGCCTTTTATGGCCAAACCTGGAAGGCCACCCGGAACTTCGAAGTCATCGTTCGTAATCTGTGAAATTTGTGATGGTTACATCAAAGTGAGTTGTTTGTTTTATGACTTGGTTGTGTGTTAACAATTATTAAACAAACAAAAAATCTAATGGGACTACATTATTTAGGATTTGGAACAATTAAGGAATCACATGCAGTGGATTCATAAAGTGAAAATTCATCCCAAGATGATATATAACAGGCCTCCTTTGAATTGTCAAAAATGCCAGTTTAGGTTCTTTACAGACCAAGGATTGGAGAGGCATCTTTTAGGTTCACACGGTCTAGTTACTTCAAGCATGCAAGAGGCGGCCAACAAGGGTAAAGACGGAGGAAGGTGTCCAGTGTGCGGACGAGTAAGTAACATTTTTTACAAACAAAAATGCACTTTGTGTTTTTGTGTTTTACCCATTTTATATTTGAATTTTTTTTTTTTTTTTCAAATTAAGGTATATCAGTGGAAGCTGCTGAACCATGTCGCACGTGATCATAGCATGTCTCTGAAGCCTGCGCACCTCTCGTACAAATGTACAGTATGTACAGCGACATTCGGAATGTACAAGCAGTTTGAAAACCATGTATACTCGGCACATAGTGTGGTTGCCAAGAGGGTTATGGATAAGAAACCAAACACACCTCAGCCTTCAACTAGCTCTAGCTCTCAGGTAAGTTTCATATTCAAATTTTATCTGGACATCAGCCATCCCTCTTATTAGATTAAATTAAAAAACAGAAAGCACTAAATAATAAGCTATTTTGTTTCATTACCTACATTTGTTTTTTTGTAGATTGCACAAAAAATTATTTGAAAAATTGTTTGAGAGATGAGATGCTCAATTTGGGCACATTGGCCGGTTGCGCTAGTTTATCTTGACTTGATTTGTTACCAGCCTTATATTATAAATGTATATAAAAGAATAGGGATAAGCCGAATTCAAAAGACAGAAAAGCACTCAGTTACTTCAAGCTTTCAAGGAATATAATTCCTATTATACAGGATGGTTTAATGTCTCCCCATTGGGTGTTGTAGACGAGGGGTCAAACCACTTTACAAAACATTTTTTGTTCTTATTATTAAATTTATTCCTTCTTATTATTATTATTACTCTCTCCCAGGATTCGGATGTGGTAAACACTCGGCCACTGTTTCCCCAGCTTTCGAGGAATATATCCTCTTCATAAGGACTTTGAAACTATTTCTAATGGTTATCAAATATACTTACAATATTTTAAATTAAGGTTTAATCATAATATAGTTAAGCAGAGTGGCTGAGATCTGCCGCTCGTCCATTCTGCATTACAATACTGTAGCGTGTTACCAAAAAGCACAGAAGCTGTGTTTGAAAGGAGGTCCTTCACTTTATCTAATGGATGTTTTGAGCTGGGGTTTAGGAATTTGGTGATTAGAAGAGAGTGAACTAGGGAAAGAAGCAAAGTGTGTAAGGAACTTTCACAAAAATGGGGAGTACAACCTCTGGCTAGATATGATATGACCTCAGGCTATGCAATAAAGAGAGGAACTCATACCAATATTCTAGGTTTTGTCTTTCTGTATAAGCATTTTTTGCTGTATTAAACATCATTCGTGTAAGTTGGTACTGCCCCTTCTTTGATGGATGGAATAAGTCTGGAGTTTTCTGTTTGTCATTCTATTATTGTATTCAAAATATGGTTTTCTTATTGTTGGGTGGACATTTTAGAAAACAAAGTCAAGCTGCCTTTCAATTTATTTAGAAAGAATAGAACAGTCAGTGTCAATCAATATTTCTGTTCTGCTTAGTTTCACTATTTATGTGTAATCACTAAGCTTGCTGTGGATCAGGATTGTTTAAAAGCTTTAAATTTTATGGTGCAAAATTAAAGAGCAAACTTTTTTTTTTTTTTTTCACAGAGCGACACTCTTCTTAAACCCCTTAAAATAAACGATGAAATAACTATAATACCTCAACCAGCGAGAGCAAAAACGAAATCTCAACCAGCACCTTCCAAACCAGCCAAGGTAATAGAGTTTTAAATTTTCAGCGCCAACCCAAACAAAATTATGCGAAATGATTGATATATCCCTTGAAGACGAATCTCTTCTCTATACAACACATTCATGGCAACTTTATTTTTATGAAAAAAAAAAACTGTTGATTAATCTAAAAGTAGAATTTTTGTTCTTTCTTTTTGTTAAATTTAGATGTTAGTGTCAAACGAGACAAATTATGTGAGGTGTTAATTAAAAATAATAAATACTGATTATATTATGACCTTAAAATGAAAGAGCGATTTATTCATATTAACCCTTAAACTTCTTCAGTGTGTTCTTTTGGGTGTCTGGAGTTTTTTGCTTTTCTAAGTACAAGTACAAAGAAAAACTTCGATAGAACATTTTGATAATAAAATAAACATTAATATTCAAAGGTATAAAAATCAATTGGAAAAGAAAATATTTGCCTTTTTTTGTGCTCGCATGAAAATCATAACAGCAGGGTTTTGTTTTTTAATGGTAGTTTTAACTGGATAAAAATAATAACTGGAAAAATAAACTGGATGTTTATTTTTGTAATTTGTACAAGCAAACTCTTAAAAAAATTCAAAAGTATAATGAATAAATAAGCCAGTCCATCTTTGTAAGAACTGTTTACATACTTTACAAAATGTTTTTTCACAAAGCTTTTTCTCGACACATTAGCCTTACAAAAATTAGAGCATTAGTCTGTCAAATGAAATTAAAATAATTTATCAAAATGTTATTTCTGTGATGTATTATAAGGTAGAGCTTTTAATAGCTTCTTAGGTGTAATGTTCATTGTGAATTTTTAATATCATGCTTGTTGTAAAAGTTTAAATCTTGTCAACCGTTAATTCCATGGGGCTAGGCACCCCCTCTTTTTTTCTTCTATTTTTTTATACCCATTTTAAAAATAGAAAATAAAAAGACATCCAAAACTACAAAAATGATGTCATCGTTTAAGGGTTAAGGTAAGTTAAAAACACATTCTAAATTAAATCTACAAAAATCCTCACTCATTTTGTTCAGATGCTAGCATCGTTTTTATTTTATTTATTTATTATTATTATTATTATTTTTCTTTTTTTTATATACTCATCCCGCCACCCTTTCCAATTCTTTCAAAATATTTCATTTTATTGTATAAAGTTTTGTTATTTTTAAAAATTAGTTTTCTTTTTACTTTTTAAGTAGGTTTTTTATTGTAATACTTTAGAGCTCACTTAAAATTAATATTTTTATACCAATTTAATTATAACATCTGTTGTTGGCAGGTTTAATTAAATCGCAAGTGGTCGAAAGCACCAAGACCCTTAGTGTAATTAGAGTGAGGATTGAATATGAAAAAATAATTCTTTTTTTTTTTTCTTTTTCATAAATTATTTCACTTATGTTGTATATAAATTGATAAGTGAGTGTTAAATAGCATTGGTAATAAGACATTAACAGTTTTTAAGTTATCTGGTGTAATTATATATTTTTTATATTAATAATAATTAAATAGTAAAATAATAATGATGTATATGTATTTCCTTTGTGACACGATAACAAAGAGGAAAGATTTATTTCTTATCTTTACAAAAAATAAAAACAAAAAACTTCAGTTGTACAATAGTTGCTGGATTGTATTTTTACCCTGACATGTGGGCAATGCAACAATTATTTTTATAGTAACGTAAAATAGTACTCTTTGTAGATACTAACGTATGTATTATATTTAGGCCAATTTTCTTATACATTTCTCCTCTAAGGGTAAAATGGTAGTTGATATTTGTATTATTTCATAGAAGAACAAAATAGATTGTCATAATTGCTTTTGCACTTGCACTTGTCAGTTTATTTTGTATTTAAAAGTAAAAGGAAAAATATTTAAGGTTATACACATTATATTACTATAAGTAAAAACACATTAATAGTGTATATTGTATACGGACTTTGTATATATATAAAATTAAAAAAACGTTCGTGGGATGAAAGTTTACAAAATTTATATTACTCAAGTGCATGGGCAAAATCATTACTCATGAAAAATAACTGCATATTAAGAAAAAATGAAAAAAATTGTATAACAAAAAAATATAAAATACAAAAAGAAAAAATCAGAACAAAAAGGAAATGTGTAACTCCCTTCTTTCTGGGAGTCAGCTTTGGGCATTCCAGTGGTAAAACGAAATTATCAAATCAATTAATTTTGTCAATATATTTATTTTTTGAAGTTAATATTAATTAGGCAAAAAAAACAAGTTATGATTAAATTTAATATTTTTCTTTTAAGTGCAATGTTATTCTCTTTTTATCTCTTACCCATTGTAGACACTGGGATCGCCGTAAATAGGGAGGTATGGATTTGTTTGATAAACATTATATTCCAATAAAACATATAATATTTTGGAGTTTTTTTTATTTATTTTTATTTCTTGCTATTTGTTTATTTTCTTCTGTGTAGTAGATTTACTTAACATGAACTGGATCACATTATCCCTAAAGAAGTCGAATTTGAGGTATTAATATTTATAAGAATTACTAGCGATAATTAACATTTAACACATTGATTAACTATGTGCCTTCAGACTTGTTTTAGATAATACGACAAATTTTACGTGATTTTTATAACAATTGAATAAATGCGACCAATTCCAACAGCCCGCAATACAAACCAACTGTCACTGTACAAGTGTCGCTGCTATTTTCAGGAAGTAAGAAAAGGGAAAAGAAGACATAATACAATTAAGTTAGTGATTTATAATTTTATGTAGTGTGGTTGAAAGATTGAAAAGATTAATGTCCCAGTGGTACTCGAACCCAAGACTTCCATCTCAATACACCACTGCTCTAACCACTTGAGCTATCTTGACTTTGTACCCCTGAGACACCAACTCTGGTTCAGCAATAGTGCCAATTAAAATTGGCATTAAATTAGTGCAAATGGAATTAATTTTAAAAATAAATTGAGTTATCACAATTGATACAGGTCAAATGAGCCCAACTCAACTGTTAACAAACTAGATAAAAAGCTGTCTTAATAAAAGGTGCCTATGGTAAGTCAATTTTTATTATGTTGATGGATGGAGGTATTAGGAAACGGCATTTGTGCTCCCCAGGCACTTGTACCTTCCTAATTCCCAAGTTCTACAATTTTCATTCCCTTGTTGTTGTTTTTTTATATACTAGGTTGTTTCCATTTAGCTGTTGCTTCGCAAAGAATATATGGGTGGCTGTTTATTCCTCCTCATTTCATAATCTGCAAATGGGATCATTGTTATATGTGCCCATGTTGTTTTGTTGTTTTCTCAGATGCCAGTGACCAGTTAATATTCCTATCGTTCCTCTTGAGTCTGGCTCTCTCCAACTACAACAGTGAATTTGTCAGTCTTGTGAGGGTTCTTTTAACATAAGTAAGTTTGATGCATCTAGGGCCTCTAGAGTTTATCCGTTTCTATTTTTGTCTTATTTGGATCCAATCTGTAATGGAGGATTCTACATTTATTTTTGTTGTCTCCACTATGGGTTCAGGGCCTATGCGTGGACTTTCAGATCCTCCTCTGGCCAGTCGTCTGCTTTTTCGTTACTCAAAAATCCTTTGTGTCCTGGCTCTTAAGATAACAGGTTGCGTTTTCCCAGGTTTTGGAGATTTTGGATGCATTCACTGACTAATTTTAATGTGATATTTTACACGCTAATGCTTTAAAAGCTGCTTGGCTATCTGATCTTATGAGGATTTTTTTGCTGGTGTAACCACTTTTTAAAATTTTTTTTCTACAAAAAACCCAACCCGGTTCCTTTTAGAGCCATCTGTATACCATACCGTTGTATGCTCTTCTGAGTTGAGAGAGTGAGAGTCTGTTGAGACTATAGGACGTTGTAAGAATGTTTCTTGGTTCATGTAGTCAGTCCCCATTTCTAAGAATGGGTGTATGATTTATTAATTATGGTTGTGTGTCCAAATTGTTTAGTTCCCATCCAATTTAATTGCTTTTGGAGCCTAAATGACCTTTTCCTAGCTTCTCCTTGTATGAATGTTTCCAATGAAGGTAGGTTTAGAAGAGTATCTAGCGCACTTTATAGGGATTGTTCTGATTGCCTTTGTGATACATAGGTTTGCTAATCTTTGTATGTTGTCTAGTGTTGAGATAGCTTGTTTTTGTTGAGCTTCACTCCACCAGATTAGTGATCCGTAGGTTATTTTAGGTCTTATTACTGCTGAGAATAGCCAATATTACATTTTCAGTTTTAGTCCCCAAGATTTGCCTAGGGTAGTCTGTAGCCATTAACAATGTTTTACCTTTTGTTATAGTATGCTGCAGGTTCCATGTTAACTTTTTATCAAAGATTATTCCTAGTTATTTAACCTGAAGCAATGAAGCATAGGCCTCTCTATTTCTGTTTCTTTTCTTGGTGAAAGCAATTATAGTAGTTGAGGGATTTGCTTTAAGTCTCTGTAGTGCATATTACTGTTCCACCATTTTAGGTGAGTTCTTTTAATTTCGAATTTTCCCTTGGCTAATCTTATAATGTCACCTGTGTAGCCCTGGGTATATATTTTTGTTATAAAATGCATTTTCGATGTTGGTAAACTTGAACTGGAAATTCGAACTTTGAGTGACTTTTGAACTGAAACATACTTTTAAAGTCAAGAAGCACAACTTTTCAGGATTGCAATTTTAAAGTTTAAACCTTATGTATTAAATGAAGTTGTAAAGAGGTTTTTAAAATGCATTTAATTATATTTTGCTGATTCGGGCTGAGGTGAGGCAACAAATACTCAGATATTAGACCTATCTGGTGTCTCAGGGAGTATTCTTGGTACCATTCTGTATAATATTTATTGGGTTTATTGCTGTTACTACCCAACACCATGAAATGGATGAAACCAAAATTTGGTCTTCTAACACAAACCCAAGCAGCTTCCAACATCCAATAACACCTTGAGTTTATGTTTATCAAAGGCTGAATGAGAAAAAATGTACATTAACACTGAAGAAAAAAAAAAAGTTGCTCTCTAGTGTACACCAACAGGAAGCTACTAATTTCAGATACTTAGGACTTAATAAAGACACCAGCAACAGACAACTTGGATACTGAAGACTATAAAGCCAAAATTTGTTTTGCGTATCAAAACAACTAACTCTGGTCAAGACATTACTTACTTAGAACATACAGTTCCTAATTCCTAATAATAATTAAGATAATTAAAAATAACTTAATTTTTTAGCTACCAACTATAAAATATGGTAGCACTTCAGTCTCTAAAAATCATGTCTTTGTTGGGGCAGACAATGTAAGCCCCGGTCATCTTGTGCTGCAGTAACGGAAGCCTGGCAGGAACACACTCCAGGAAAAGGTGACCCACAGTCTAAGGAGATGCCTGACTACAAGAACAAGAAAAGACAGGGGTATTGAAGTGAAAGAGATATTCCTCTAATTTTCCATGTACTGTCAGAATTTGTATAAGCTGTAGTCCATTTGCAGTTGGCTTTCCATAAACCCTTGTCAGTCGTCTATGGTTAGAATTATTATATATTTCTTCCCATACCATCCCATAGGGGAACCTTTTAATACGTAAATGGCAAATCCCCGTATTAGGTATAAGAAAAATAGTCAAAAAATTGCAAAATCACTTCTTTGGACAGCAAACCCTTCCTGATTTCAGGGGCCGAGGGTTCAGTGTACAGGTCATTTAATTTTAGTTTAATAGTACCATTAACTATTAAATTTAGATATTCCTCATTAAATATTATCAAGTATGTTTTGTATCAGTGTCGATAATCCTGCAAGGGTAGTTGTTGCTTGAAGCTAGTTGGGGGTAATGACCTCATGGGTTGCAACAGTTCAGTACACTGAACAAACTCATAAACAGGACCTTGTTTATCTACATAACACACTTGCGTAATACACAAGGCATGTACAGTTAACACCTTAGGCTGCCTGTCCCTATGTTTCAACTCTGCCTTTTTAAGATTAGGTCACACAGGCCTTGTATGACCGAAATTCAATAGAAATGGAAATAGAACCGAATGGATCATACAGAATCAGATTTGATTGATACAGAACAAGGAAAGCAGATTTGACGTTATGGAACATAGGTTTTCAGAGGTTAAATGGTAAGGAGAACGAGTAAATAAATCAAAGTTAAAAAGTTTTGTTTTGATGGGTTTGATTTCATTCAGTCCCATGTGAAATTTTCGATTTTAGAATTAGGGTAGATTATTAAGGGAGTAAATTACAAAGAAACTAACATTTTTAAATATATTTTTTATATTAAAAATAACTTTTATTCACATATTTGTACATTTTTTAAATATTACAATATACAAAGTATTTACATTCGAATGGAATGAGATTATAGCAGTTGCATGCTAGCATATCAGTGCAGATTTCAACCACTGAAAAACAAAATAACATGTTAATAATTGAAAAATAGTTTGTATTGATGTATTATTTATAAATGTTATTACAATTACCTCAGCAATTGTCATTTTTACGCTTCCATTCTGAAGTGGGTCTTTTGCTTCAAAAATATCTTTAAACAAAAAGACATTAAAACAAGATAGTTCTGGCTTTTAATTATAATGAAAAATAACTTACTGAAGGCGACGCTTAGATGTAAAATGGCTGATACAAAGTCGCCGAATCTCAACGTTCCATCTTTTCTCATGTATCTCAATATGAGGATTGAAAGTACGTCAGTGCTTAACTGAAACCCTTTGACAAAAAAAGGCTGTTTAAAACTTATCCTTTAATACAGTACTTTCTCGTACTTACCAACTTCATGAAGTGCGTCACGCAGTCTCTCTGCTTTTAATATGCCAGTCTTTTCTTTTGTGTGGTTCTTAAATGTCGTCTGCCATGCTTTCAAACTGCACATAAGATCTTTGAAGTCGGTCAATTTAAGACGTCCATTTCCACAACTCTGTATATTTGTTAAAGAAATATTTTTTCATGCTTTAAAATTAAACATTGTGAAATTGGCCTATAGACGATATTGTTAAATTATCCTGTTTACCTTTCTAAAGTAGAAATAACAATGTGTAATTTTCAATTAAATCTAATGTTACAGGTTCCAATCTCATTCCTATTAAAGTCATTTTTTTCCCTTCTTGTTACTTTAAAATGCACAAACCACATTTTTTGCTTGGGTTAAGTTAAAAATCTCAGCGTTATTTTAATCCCCAGGCTTAGATGGCATAAACATGTGAGCTCTATTATTAAAACGATCTACTCAAGCTTCAATTCTCTTCGACCTCAGTTTTTCTCCCTCCTTAGAAAACTAGTTCTCCTTATTGAATCCCTAATATTTCCTTTAATCTCTTACTGTACCTATTTTTTCAATTTTTAGACAGCCTGTTCAATATCTTCCATTTCTTATCATTCCTCCATTAAGTACTGTTATGATGTTTAACCAAGAGATCATATTATCACAAATCTTCCTATATTAATATCTTCAGCCACCTTAACATTCTTAGCACCTATAAACCTAGTTTTATTACACACATTTGAAATTAAATCAAATAAATGAAATCAATATCTGTCAACTTTTTCCCGCCATTCCTTCTACAAATTCACCAGGTCATATCCCAGCCTACATTACCACCTTATCTTTTAGAATTGCAGGGTCAATACTGGACTTTGCTTCGCCGGGAAGTAAGTTCTGCTTCCTAGCTGGCTTGTTTCAGGTTCATGTGTATGCGTTTTCAAATGTGTATGAGTTTTTACATGGATCATCTCCTTTTCTTCCTTTTCGTTTTCCTGTTTTCTTTGCATCTTTTTTCTCTTTCTGCTTTTCTTTCATAATGTGGTTCCATCATTCAAATATAAATAACTAATATTCAAAAAAATATATTATTGTCATTATTATAATTGTTGTTATCATTCTTTTACTATTTTTATAAAATTAAATTTATTTCTAAAATATGTACATGTAAAGGGGCTTAAAGCCCTTTTTGTACCTTTAAAATAAATAAAATATAGTTTGTTGTTTTCCCATGGTTCTACTCTTCGGGTGAATTTAATCAATAAAGTATAAAACCTTCATTCTAAATTGCAAATAATTGTTATAAACAATTTAAAAAAAATTTAAAATCTAAACTTATTTGACCTTTTTATTTAAAAAGGATACATCCATTGTCATAACAACTTGACGACACACCTCAAGGCTTGCACAACTTTTAATATAATCTGCAATAATTTATGAAGTGAAAATTACATCTGTAAATTATTTTTGTTTATAGTTTCAAATTGGCTTTACCATTAGGTAAGCATGCTTCAAGCAGCTCTTGTAATTCAAAACTGTTCACGGTTCTATGTTCATCAGCCAGCTGAAGAAAAACTGCTTCGTATTGGCTAAAACTTTTGTTGTCAAGAGTTGCAGGAGCCTGTAACAAAAACAAAAAATGGCCCAATCTTTATTAACATTTAAACTAGTTTAAACATCAATATTATTTTGTTTAGTTATTAACACTGGCTCTACATGGGTCAATCATTTCATGGTATTACAATTACAGTACAGTCCCAATAATCGGAATGTTTTGTCTAATACAAACACAATTAGGTTGGGCGATTAAAAAACAAATTTCGAGTTAAATTTAAATGATATTAATGGCTAACAACTTGCCCACATTGGACTTAACTGCTGATTTTCATTGCACTTTCACCCTTAGATTACGATGAACCTGTATTTTTTTTCCATTTTGGACTGTCAGTTTTCTTGGGTTTTAAGTTTAAAAAAAGCTTTATGCACCCTGACCAATATTGGTCTTTTGTGCAATCTGCATTATTATCTATAGTTCTTTGTTAAGCTTAAGGCATCATGTCTGGGCTTTTCCTCTCCCAGGAGTAGGAATCAGACTGCAGGTTTGTATCTGCTACTCTGAGTCTTATGCACATGCCTCTAGAGTCTCCAGTGTCCAGTCAACTTGTGGAAATGTCAAAATTATTACTAATAATTGAAAATGGCAAGAATTTGAAACACATCCATCAAAAACAGAGGGAATAACGCATTAAGACAGCCAAAATGATCAGAAATGAATTATTTGCACTACCGCCCTTGTCTTGCTCTTCTTCAAAACTCCCAGCTTTATTTTTTAATGTAGGCATGTTCCTGTGTCTCTACACATTTATCCATAAATAAACCAGACCTGTTGTACTGCTCGGTTTTACATTTTACATGCTAATCAAAATTTTCCACAAAACCAAAAAGGGCTTGGTTTACATGTTTTAATTTTGGAATAAAACTCTACTGTGCAATTTAACTTTCATTTAGCATTCAAATGTTTTATCCAAATATTTAATACTATTGTAGGTATCACACTTGTTAGTACTGACCTTCACAATGGCAGATTTCAATATTGAAGGTGCTGTGTCCAACAATCTGTAAATCAGAACATTGTTATTAAATATTGATTGATTTAACAATTGTAATTAGTCGTACTTGAGTTTAAGAGGTTTGGACGAATAGACACGGAGAGTAAAGTTTGACTCCTGGCCTGTCTCATATGTTGTTGGTAACAGAAGATAACCACCTTGTTCCAATTGACATCTCAGATTCACCTGACATACAAATAGTACATTTATCAATTAATATAGTTTTATTTTAATAGAGAGGAAGTTTTTTACCTGACGACTGTTGGTGTATTGGGAATTGACTAGAGATTTGTTCTGCATGAAGAAACATCTTCCTGCAGTTTCTGTGGTATTTTTTGGTAAAGAGTACGCTGTGAACCCAACCACCTGAAACACAATGAAAACTTTGTTTGTTAAAAAGACAAAAAAATAAAAAATAAATTATTTATTTAATATAAGCTAGGTGCTTATTTTATTTATATAAGCTCATTTCTGCACTGGAATGTACATACACACATGTGCAGAGCTTATCATTTATCACCATCAATTCCATCTTTTGGTAGTTTGCAATAAATTACAGGTAGGCCTCAAGAATCACCCACCCTGTGTGTTGGTTGTCCGGGTTCAGACCTCGGTCTTATCCGTCCACACCGAGGTTGGGCTCCAAGGTCTAGGTCAGTTTCTAAATTCAAACCCACTCTCACTCACTCTTAAATTCATTCTTTTCTGCTTATATACCATTCACCCAGAGTGGTGTTCTTGATATATCTCCATCACCCTCCAAACACATTATATAATTAAACTAAATGAGGGTTGATGGGGTACTCAATATTCCATCATCACACAACATTCATGCTAATAAATACATGCAGTCTCAAGACCAAGAAACAAGTTGAGAGATCTGTAAAATTGGAACAGGGGACCCAGATACTCACTCCTATGCACAAGCACAATTCTCATATCGGGTGGTATTCCTACATGCTCTCTATATAGAGCGAGGGACTGAATGCATGCAATGAAATGGAATAAATCAAGCAATCTTTCTCTACATGCAAGACCCATATTTGGGGTAACTCCTCTTTTACATACAAGTCAGATCCTCTGAGGGCCCCCATCGACATCACTCTACACACATGAGAGTTTCACTGCTGATCTATCCTACTGACACTGTCACTTTCTTTTAATCATGTTTTTTATTTATTTATAATTGCATTTTTATCATCAGAGGGCCGGATTTCAGAGATTGCTATGTCCCCCTTTTCATTACCCTCCATACCTTTATGTCCGAGTTGGCAGATGTCAACCATTTTACTGCGACATTCCTGCACATAGTAGTTTTCAACACTTGAATTTTATTTTTAAAAAATACTCGCCTTGGGCTCCATTATGCTATGCTGATTTAACGATATGATGACTTCTTCCATTTCACTTAGAATCAGATGAAGCTGAGGATTTATGTGGAATGTTTCTGTAAAAATGAAAACCACAATGTTTTTAACATTTTAATTTTTTTTTTTAATAATCTAAAGCTAAAGTCCTTACTATCCTACTTATTTACACTGTTTTCACTTATAACAATTTAATAATAAATTTTTTATAATCATGTTGTCATTTTAGATTTATCATTGATTATGGAATTAATTACAGAACAAAAATAATAGGATAAATTAGATTTATAAAGAATGTGCGCTAATTAATTTGTGCCTTTGTAGTACAGGCAGTTGACGTCATATCAAGATTACAAAATTTATTCTTCCTTTTCTATTAATTATTGCTACAATATCAGAGAAGAGTTGTATGTACATTACATTCCTGTCTTCTTCATTTTTATGTAACAGTACATAAAATCAAAATGACTCATTCATACATGTTTATTTATTTTATTTAGTTAATTGTATATGCAGTATACCTGGGTTATTTCTGCATCCACCAGCTGATACGCCTTTCAGCCAAGCACCCTGATAAACTTTCATCTGCCATGTGTGCTTGTTGTGGAGTGATGGTTCATCACGAGCAGTTTCGCTGTCTAGATGCACCGCCTCGATATGAGTGAAAGTTTTCACAAATTCACTGTACGACATCCTAAAAAAGCAAATTTACAAAAGATTAGCGCCGTTGGTAAATAATTTGATATTTTCTAATACCAATAGCAATTTTATTCCATAAATCAGAGCTTGTTTGAAGACATAATTACTTAGATTAACACAGCTTAATAAACTATTTTAAATAATAATTATCTGCTCTGCTTAAATACAGTCACTATTAATCATACTAATCCAACCAATTTTCCAACAATATAAATAAAAACTTTTGTAAAAACTGTTCATACATGTTAGCATAAGAACTGCATACATTTATATATAAGTTAAGAGAAATTGATGCCTTTGTTTAAATTTCACATCTTCAGTAAAATTTTAAAATGTTTAAGAAAAAAACATTGGATTCGTTTTTTGTTTTTTAGAATGGCAAATATATAATCTCATGTGAGATGTAACGCATAGCCTTTGTCCTTTTGTTGTGATATGAATGTGAACTTTTTCCCCTTTGTTAATTTGTTTATGCTGATAAGTTCTTGGTGAAAACCTGTTATTTTTTCAACGAGTCAACAATTTCCAAGTGACAAACAGTTCGGCCTTGTAGATATCGAATAAACTTGTTTGTTAAACATTTGACTTAGATGATTCATATTATTTGATGAAAAAAAAATCTGAAGTTTGTTCGTTCTTCTTTCAGTCAGGCACATTTTTACAATTTACTTTACTTGCAGGCAAACTGAAAAAGTTCTTTTTTTTGCCAAAATTTCATAAAAATTTGTATCAAGAAGGTAGTTGGCCAAACTAGATAAAAATCAACAAAAAAAAACATTTTCATCAAGTCCAAGTTTAAAATAACCAGGCCACAAAGAAATCAATCTTGAGGAAATAGTGCATAAACTTACTAAACAAACACTAGATATACAGGCTCATGAATACAATAAGATGGATAACAAATGCGAGGCGTGATGTGTTGAATTTAAATTACAAACATTTTAAGAAATGTAATCTTTTGTTTTTTATGCAGTAAGGAAGATGTAATATAATGTTTGGGGAGTATAAATACTGCACTCTTTGAAAGCTATTGTAGTAGTAGCGAAGAAGTGAAAAACATTACAGTTTAAGTTAAATACTTAAAAGAGTATTGAGGAAAATTATATTAAAAAAAAAAAGTAAATGAAGTAACTCCTGTCATACAAGAGGGCTTAATGTCCAACAACTCATTAAGTATCGCAAAGGGGTCAAAGCACATTAAAATATATCTTTTATACTATTATCTATTAAAAAAATTATAAGCTTTGCTGGTAATCAAACCCAGAACCTCTAGTGTGGCAAATATGAGTTGGATGCTCTAACTACTCGGCCACTGCAGTCCCTTAACTGGTGACTATTAAACTTTTTTTCTAAAAAAATATGAAAAAATAAGCGAACAGTTCCCGTGCATAGGCAGGAGTAGCCCCTTTGATCGAAAATCACAAATTGCCATACCCCAAAGCATGCTAAAAGCAGAAGTGAACAAGTGGATTGAAAAAGCAAGGAAAAAAGGCAAGAATTAAGGAAGGAGAATAAGTCTTTATACTGGCCAATTGCTGTTCATTTACCACCCAATGTGGGAAAAAAGTAATTTGCCCACTTTCATGAAAAAACAGAAAGAGGTCCACAATGATGACTCTTCCACAATATTAATGCCTACAGAAATAACAAAAACCAGAAAGTTTTTGAGGTTTTGAAATAACGCAGATTCTTTTCAACAGTAGATCTTTTGGTTTCAGAAGAATGGGATACTTTGGTCACCAGTGAACCAAAAGAAGTGGAAAATAGTTTATGCCAAGTTTTAGCTTTTCCTACATGACTAAAGCAATCTTTTAACCAAGATATAGCTTTTCTACTTCTACAGATATACAACTTCCTTGAGATTTGTTTGGAATTTGTTCTTAAACACATCAATCAACTTGCTACTATGTTGGCTGTACTTTTCAATGTATTATTATATAATATTTTATATAATACATATATATGTCTGTAGTTTTTAAATATATGGATCATTGAAGTTATGGAATAACCAAACACCCCTCAGACCAACACGTCAACAAAGTCTGGCGGGTCCAGACGGCCACCCATCATCTTAAGGAGCACCTCTTAACACTAGTATAAAAACCCTAATCCCCAAATATCCTTGCCTTACACTTACGATAGCCTTCTGCCCGTCACTCTGTCGGTTTAAAATTAAACATTGTACATTTTTGACAATAAAGTTTCTTCTTTTTTAAAAAAGTCTTCTTCGAGCGATTACTTAACTTTGATCTATGACTAGACAATTTTTTCGAGAGTTGTACAGGATGTTTAAAAATAAATAACAGATTTGATAAAATGGTGTATTGTTCTCATAAGATCTATTTTTCTCCCCCCCCCTATAAGTATATCAAAAGTCAATACTATAATCTGTTTTTCAAACAGTGATTTTTTTCTTTTGTTTTTTTGTTCAATATCTATCATAAATTTTATCAGTGATTTGTCCATTATTTTGATCGCATTGTTCAATAGAAGATAAAAAGGGGGAAGAAACAAGAAGAGATTTCTCTTATCGTTTAAAACTTTTTTTATTGCGATGCAAGTTAAAAATTTCTTTCCTATCCGATAAATAAATCGTTCTATTTACACAATTTTTACATATTACAAAATATTATTTACACAAGATTACAGTTTTACAAAAACAAAAATTATTTACAGAGATATTCACCTAAAAATTAATTGTCATATTAAGATAAACTAGTGACGCAGTTAATTAAAAGTCTTATCTTTACGATTTCCATTACCTACACGAAATATTTAAATATTGACAATTTAAATTGGTTATTCAAAAACAAAACCAAAAATTAATTAAATACTGACACATACAAAAATGAATTTTTGTAATATTGTTAAAACAAAATAAAAATTAGAAAAAAAATTATGGTTTATAAAAACTTGTTTAAAATTGAGGCAATTTCAAAATCGTTACTCATCAGATTTTGATGACATTTCTTGATCACTTTCTGGCCTAAAGTCTCTGTGATGTGTTCCTCTTGAACATTTACTCTGCTGGTTGGTCCATTCAGATTCAGGATCTGAAAAAATGTTGTTGTTCTCGCCACCCTCGTCCCCTTCAGACAGAAATTGTTCATCCTCTTCTAGAAAATTGTAAGAATGGTCATTTTTATTGACCCAGTTTGAAGTCAGTTTTTCTCTTAAGGTGTGCACATCATCACCAGGCTCTTCAGGCATGTCAGTAACGTCGAATATCTCTGTTACTTTCACCTTGTTATTGTCATCTGTGTAATAAAACGCTATGACAGCATCGTGAAGTGAAGTGACTTGAAGGATATTTTCAAACGTGTCATCTTCGATTGAATCTATTTTGTTTCCTACTGACACGCTGTCTCTTCTTGATGATAGGACATTGCCTAATTTTAGTTTATCTATCTGATCAACTTCACAATTATCAAGCTTGAGGTTAATTTCCTTTTCGTAGAAATGTTCTTTTTCACATCCTAAATTGTATTCTAGCTGAAAAGTCACATCCGCCGAGAGATGATCACAAGCTTTGTTGCTCACTGTGTCTAATAAGCTAAGCATTTGTGAAATAAAAAATCTTATCATTGTTTTGAGAGTGTTGTTCATGTGGGGTATCAAGGATTTGAGCTTTTTAAGCATTGCATACATAAAATCTGCAGGAATCGTATATGGGAGACTCATTATTGTAATTAGTTTCATACCTCGATGTGAAAGTAGCCAATTGTACAGACCTTTGTTTGCAGAATCTATCGCTTCCTGGAACACCGTCATAACTAGATCAGGAACATTGGCTACTAGAGCTTCTTGCCTGTGTAATTTGCATTCTTGGCACTGAGGATCGTATTCACAAGAGTCCTCCATCATCTCAGATATTTCAAAGGTAGACTGAATAGCGAGGCATTTTGTACAGTTGATTAAATTGTTGATTTGTAGAAATCTAAGAGTGTCTTCGAATCCTTGTTTACACAGATTTGACAGGACATCAGGTTTTGGGGGCCACAATATTCTTGCGAACCTATATATATTTTGCTTTGATAGCTCTATGCTGGTGTTTGCAAGGTTGAGATGGAAGAGCTGAGAAGAGCTGTCTCTCGGGCAAATATCAGTCTCACCACAGAATGGGCTTACTGTGATGGTATTTTCATCAAGAATTGGTAGATTATCGCTGAAACCGCCATCCATGTACCTCTCTCCATGGAATTTCGGAGGGATAAACCCTGAGAAGATCGGTACAAAAGCACTGGCCAATAAAGCCTGAAGTAGATCTTCCTTGCTGTCAAACTGAGAGACAAGAACGTTTTTCCCATCGTTGACTCTTGTCAATGAAATATGGAGTTTACCGTTGACTAGTAGGTGTGCATCCTCAGGAAGGTTTTTTCTCAAATTTTCTAATAGGAATTCTTGGACGTTGAAAGAAGGGCTGAAAGGGCCTAGTGTCCTGAGCCTCGCTTCTCGAATGAGTATGAGCATGTCACTGACAACTTCACCTACCGGGAGGTCACACAGCAGACTGCAAGCAGCAATAGCCCCAGCCGATGCTCCTGCAATCTTGTTCAGGAAAAGTTGCGGGGCATATTTCTTGATACAAACAGCAACACCAACATGGTAAATGCCCAAAAATCCACAGCCCGCAAATGACAGATTCATTTTGAAAACAATTTATAGTAAAAAAAAAAAAAAAAAAAAAATTCTTGCCACTGCACCAACTTTACACTAAATTGACTAATAATTAAAAAAAACAAATTAGTTCTGTTATCAATCACAAATAACAGTTGTTATACAAAAGCTCTATGTTAAACCTTTTAACACAAATTATAAACGACGTGTAAAAACTAGTTTCAAAGAGAACAATTCAAGAGGAGGTGCTTCCTCTTCGGAGTATCTCAGCAGACTGCTGTTTACAGTGGGTTGCACAAGCTTCAAAGGAATCTTTATCTTGCTGATAACTGACCCAACGTCAGATAAAATGCAATTATCCCAATCAAAATATAAACAACACCCATTCGACAATTTTGATTGAATACTGGCCAGCGATTGGCCTAAACCGTCTCTCATGTCAAAAACAAAGATTAAAAATTCTTCATGCGATAGTTGTGTAAATAATTATTGTAATCATTTGTATTAATTTGGTTTTCTTACACTCAAGCAGCAAAATTTTGTATTTGATAAAAATACTGAGTGAATTGTACATACCAAAATTCTGGCTCTGGGCTGTGCGATAATGCGAGACGGTCTTTCTCTTGAGCTGGCACCTGATGCCAATGGGTACACCCTCTTGACCATGTACCAACGTATTCACCGCCTCCAGCACCAGAAGGATTTCTCAGCCTTACAAGCTGCACGCCTTCTCCACTTATAGTTTCTACCTGTTTATTATTAATATAGAAAATTACTCATTTAAAATTTAGTTTGAATTATCTTGTTTTTTTATGATATTTAAATGTTAAAAAGATATTTTTGTTTTGAAATAGAATTTTTGTTATGTAATGAAATGACAATCTGCTGATAGCTGCACAATATTTTTTTAATTTTCTATTTCACAACTGGCTATAAATGTATCATTTAATTATGTGTTTATTATAATTTACCAATTGATAAACACTTTTGTCAACTTTTATTTAATCAGGATGACTCAAATGATGCAGGGTAAACAGAAACCAAATAATTTGCAGGATAATTAAATAATTATTTTGCTTCAAACTTCAATAAGCACATACTTTAGTGTTTAAACAAAATTTTAAGGATAAAAATATTTGAAAAGTATTGCATAATTGAGAATGTGTTTTGACAAAAGGCTTGCCCATGAAGAAAACATGTTTATACATTACACATGTTTACTTTTCATTCTTCCACTTTGAAGCTTATCAACCACTAACACTAAACTTCAATTATTTAGCAATAAAACTCTTGGTAAACATAAATATTATTGTTTTAGTAACATTAAATATTACATCATTCAGATAAATATAAGCTTGAAATACGATAATTTTAGAATTTATTGTAGCTTAATAATTAATGAAAATATTCAATTTGTGACAAGTGAGTTAGAAAATTGTAAAACATCATGTTGAGGTCTGTGATGGGATGAACATGCAGATTTAACCCTGACAAACCACCCAAAAGCATCCAATAGACAAAATTTTTCTTATAATAAAAATCACTCACTCTTTCGACTGCATACAGCCTGTAGTTGATCCCGATTTGAATCCCATTCGCCAATTTTTCAGAATTGTTTCTTATCTGAAAAATAATTGATATAAGAGACAAACAGTAAAATATTGCATAATCACTCAATGTACCTGTGAGTTTTGTGGTTGGACAGTAGCTGTGACAATAGTCGTCATAGAAAGGAGACTATTAAGGAGTCTGCCACAAGCGGTCGGGTCTTGTCTTAAGCTGACACTCTCTGCTATTCCACCTGTCAAGTCTGACAAACCGTCCATCATCGTACCATATTTAAGCGCTTCATATGACCCATGCAACCTGAAAATGTATTGTATTTTATAGATTTTCTATTTCATAAATCACAATTTAAAACAAAAATCATAGATTATTAGAGTGATAACTTTCAAAACTTGCTTAACTCTTAAGTTCTATGAATAATTTATTATTAATTAGATTGCAATACATATTTTAAATCTAGTTTAGCAGTAAAAAATAGAATAATAAATGGATAAAAAAATATAATAATAGAATAAATCATTTATATCATGGCTAATTAATTTTAACAATGTAAATTTTAATAGGCCTTATAAATTACGCGCCAAATTAAGAATTAACTATAATTGGTTGTAATTATAAAGGTATAAAAACTGCCAATTTCAAGGCATCTGTTTTATAGTATTTACGGTTTTTCTCACGTTTAACTTATCAAAATGCAACAAACTTAATTTCATTTTTTTACAAGGGTTCGCAACAGTAAAGGTCATATCAACCCTCGGTGTCGGTGTTTTTGAAAAAAAAATTGTTTGTCGGGTTCAAATGCAAGGCCGCTGGATTCGAACCCGAGACCTTTTTTTTGTCACAGTGATGAGCGTCGTGTCAAAACCGTAGCGACCACCGACGCCCCTAACAATCTTTATTAAAAAAAAAAGAAAAGAAGATAAGTCGTAAATAAATAATAAACAAAGAGCAAAGAAACTAGGATTAAAATTGCATATTTTTCTTTACCATCCCGTGTATTTGATTTTGTACAATATTTGGCCAAAGGTCTTGTTTTTCTCGAAGAGATTATCGGACACGTGTCTAAATAAGATTATTAGGTGTACGATATATTTCAACAAAGATCTTCATCAGTATTGTTCTCGAGATCTTTCAATCTTTATTTTTTTAATCTTATTATTTATTAAATTCCATAAACGGGGCAAAAAATCATGAGGTGCTGCCCGCTCCCTCTATTCAGATGCTTAAAAGTAAAAAACGGTTGTCTCCGTCTATGGAATATAATAAATAATATTATCTCCACTAAAAATCTTAATTAATTGAAAAATATTAGTTGGTCAAGCGAACCACGAAAACAGTGAATTTAATAATAAATAATAAGACAGAAAATTTAATAAAACGTCCTCCTGAAGAAAAAGAACACAACTATATTTTCAATTTAGATTGGCGTAGATTTTATTAATTTGAATCTTTATTTCACATTCTACTTTGTTACTGTTTCAAACGGCATTTCTGGCGTAAACATAAACAAAACTCAAGTCCTACGAACTTAATTCATCGAAATGATATTTTTACAGTGAAGATAATAGTGAACCATTGTGTTGTCATATGTTATTTTCATGTAGGACCTCGTCAGAAACTCTCTACTTGGATGAAGAAATTTGAAGAAAAAGAAAGTTGGAATTAAAGCCAGAGAAGTCCTGCAGTAAAAAATATCAGCAGGCTGTAAACGATCATATAGAGCTGAACAACCCAAACCATTGGAATGAAAAGTAATGTTTACTTCACCTTTGCAAGAAAAACAAGTGATACGAAAATTAATTTAATTCTAACAGCACGAATTAAAAATACATCTGTATTGTAAGGGATGCGATTGTAATCAAATCGCTGTCATCACATTGTCGGAAGTCGATGGTGGATGGTGGTCGATGTATATGTTGAACACCAGTTAAACAAGCTTATTAATAAAGTTGTTAAATTTATAAACCCTAGTTGCACCCACATTGTCATTGTTGTTTTATGAATCCTAGTGGCCTTCAGATTGTAATTATTATGTTTTATAACCTCTAGCTGCTTAAGATTGTGATAGTTATGTTTTGTGAACCTTAAGCAGCCCATATACATGAATTATTCTTGAACAAATGGACTGCAAAAAAAATAGAGGCGATAATATTGAATAGTAGAGCAAAGTATTGTGCAAAGCGGGCATAGACGTATAATGTTATAGCCGAAGAAATTAAATTACTCTGTTGTTTGTGACATGGTGAACGTGTAGGGTGATACCGAAATTTGCTGCATTTGATTGCCGTGTAGAAAAACCAAAAGAAAAAAAGAAACGAAAAGGACGGAGGTGGCCAAAAACAGAGGTTCCAAAGAGAGACAAAAAGAGAAATACACTCCTGAAACTCAATGAACTGAGAATATGCGAGCAAAATTAAATTCAACACTTTCTACGTATGGTGCTGAACTGTTTCCTTTGGTGATGGCTGCTGCTCGAATTGAAATGTGAAAATCTATTCCTTCAAATCAGTAAATGACGCGATATTGCACAGTGTTGTCAACACACGGTACAGTATTTTCCGTACTGCGCAATAAATATCAAAATTTTGTGATTTAACGCAATATATTATATTCAACTTTGTTGTGCATTAATATTGACGTGTAGAAACCACCAGAAGTTTTACAGACCCTATCTGTCTACAGATTGTAATAGTTATATTTTATAAACCTTGATACGTTCAGATTAGAATAGTTATGATTTCTAGACCCTAGGCGTCCTCCATATTGTAATAGTTAAATTTTACATATCCTAGCTGCTTAAAAGAAGTTTTGATTTATGAACCGTAGCTCCCTCCAAATTTAATGGTTGTGTTTTTGAGCCATAGATGTCTCATGATCGTAACTGCTATGGTTCATGTATTCTTGCTGCTCGCAAAGCGTAATGGACGTGTTTTATCTACTTAGCTACTTCCAGATTCGAATAATTAGGTTTTATAGACTTCAGCTGCTTCCAGATTGTAATTATTATGTTCTATGAACCCTAGATACATTCCAATTGATGTAAACCCTAGCTGCCTCCAGAGCATAAGTTTACAGATGTTGTATTTTACAGACAATAATATTTTATGTGAACAAGCCAAGAGCCAACTCAACCACATACTGTCCAGATTTGTATCTATAACGCATATAAATAAATTAAAGTAAAAAAATATATGTGTGATAATAGAGTCAAAATTTAATAAAATATCTTTCATATGATAAAAGTCAGAAAAGTAAATTATTATCTACATTTTTATTAATGATGAAAATTATCAATTATGATTTATTATATATCAAGTTCCTTATTATTATTTTTTAAATATTATTTTATATTTTATTATTTCAGTCAAAAGTGGTGGTTATTATTCTAAACTTATTAAACTTTATTATGTTATCATTTTTATCTCGTAATTCTTTCTTATCTTAATCTGTTAATCCTTTATGATTATTTTAATGCACTTATAGATTAAAAACTTACGCGCTTTTTTAAAGGTTGTTTAAAGAGAATAAAAAAGTTCTTTATATTAATATTCATAATTGCATTGTTTGAGTTTGAAAACGTGGCAAGAATGTCCAATAACGTGATAATATAACCAAGAAAGATCGTGATTTCACTGGCGACTGAAGTCAGGATAGCTCAGGTGGTAGAGTAGCGGCGTATCTAGCCGAAGGTCGTGGGTTCGAATCCACATCTCATTTTATCTCAAAAAAACCTTAATTAATTGTAAGATATTAATTGGTCAAGCGTACCACGAAAAATAGTGAATTGATTAAGTGTTTACATGGAAAAGATCTCTCTAGTAATATGTGTCCGACTTTTCGTTGTGGCCATTAGGTGTAAAGCAGTGGGTCAACGTAATTAATTTCCCTGTGAATCGTAATTGTTATGTGACCCAGTAGAACAAAAGTTAACTGTTCAACAATCAAGACTACTTTCACGAGGCCCCCCCATCCGAAAAGTTTACCCATTCTTAGACGAATTAATTCATAGTGTTGAGGCCATCCTGATGACCGAGTTACCGACGATAATAACAATTCCCTCCGGATTCACTTTCCGCTGGAGGAAGGGGAATTGAACAGTTATCCGTGGATTTTCAATCGTCTTATTTGTACGGCGTCGCTCAATCATCGTCTTATCCGATGGGGACGGACGCTGGATTCGACTTCGGCAGCCCCTTTCACCCAAACTCTTCAAATCCAATTTCACAATTCGTTCATAATTGAATTTTTCAAACCTATCGAAACAGTTCTCAATACAAGAGCCCTGAGATAAAACGTTCAAAAAATCTAATTAGGTCAATTTTTATCAACTTAAAAAAAGGTGGATTTAACGAGCCCGGAGAATTTTCAACGGTCACAAAGTTTCACATCGGTTGTTATCTTCTTAAACAGCGCAAAACAATAATCCAAGGCCTCTTCAGTCGATAGCATTGAAATTGAATCATACTTTCAAGGATAAGAAGGTTGAAACATTTTTTAATTTTGTTCTTTTTTTATCTAGATAGATTGAGGTAGTTAAAAGCCTTATGAACTTCGTCCATCACAAAGCATGGATCATACGTATCTAGGCTTTTTATTTGCCTCCAACCCTTGATGTACAGTTATGTTTGCTAGTTTTAGCTTTTCTTTTGAATAAATACCGGTTTTTTTTTATTTTTTACTTTCACGTTTTCATTAGACCAACTTCCACCCTCCCAACGTTTTTATTCGACCATTAAATCAGCAATGTCTAATCAACGGGCCAGCAATGACTTGAAGTTCTGTCCGGCTTTGCTGCACGTCTTAAGTAAGTTTGGGCGTGAAGTTTTTACGAAATTCGTCTGGCACAACTATGCTATTGCTTGATAATTATTCTGGTCTGCCTATCCTCGCTAATTTTTATAGGCATACCAGGAAGTAACTATCAAATAATAGGTTTATTATACAGGATGAAATCTCACATGTACGGTAGGTTGAAATGATACGGAAGGGTTCTTCTTGTCCTACTGAGGACTCATACCTGGTCGTATGTAGCCTCTTCTTTAGGTTTCTTTCCTACTTATCCGAATGTCCCAGTACCATACTGTACAATATCCTCGGCTGATCCGTTTTATTTAAGATAAACCACCTTTCAAATAAAACAGCACAAATCCACCAGTGAAGATTGCGAAATGCCAGAAACGTGACAACTGCGAAAATAGGCAAACTAGAATGATCGAAAACGAACAAACTGCTGGATAGAAAGACAGGTAGGTAGAGTGTGAGAGAAAAGTAGGTAGATATTTAGCTAGCAGTTAGTAGAAATATAGGCAGATAAATAGAAAACGGGTGACAGAGCGAGAGAGGTAGAGAAATAGAATCCGAAATATATAGGTAAAGGGACGAAGATAGAAAGAGAAAGAGAAGAAAGAAAAAAGAAAGAGGGGGAGAGAGAGAGAGAGAGAGAGAGAGAGAGAGAGAGAGAGAGAGAGAGAGAGAGAGAGAGAGAGAGATTATTGGATAGCTCAAAGTTTATTTTATTTCCCGTTCTAGAAATAAAAAAAACGTTTTTAAATAAATTCCAATCAATTAAGATTTTTAGTTGAGATAAAAAAGTCAATGGCACGAGCGGGATTCGAACCCACGATCTTCGGTTTGATACGACGCTGCTCTACCACTTGAGCTATCGTGACCTCAGTGATAGCTCAAGTGGTAGAGCAGCGGCGTATCAAGCCGAAGATCGTGGGTTCGAATCCCGCTCGTGCCATTGACTTTTTATCTTAACTAAAAACCTTAATTAATTGGAATATATTATTTGGTCAAGCGGACCATGAAATTAGTGAACTTAAGTTTTTAAATAAAATTAATCAAAAATTATACATCTTTTTAATTTAACAATTTTGCAAACCAATTTGCGTTAATTCTATTTGTTAGGGATGTAACTCCGTTTACCAAATGAAAAATAGAGTAATATAGAAATGAGAGGTCAAATAAGTACGAATTATTTTGGAATGCTAAATACTATAGAATGTGCATTTAGCCTTAATGGTAATGGGATGTAAGGACTGGATTCAAATACGATAACCTGGGACTTATCTACATTCAAGTTAAGCCCATTTTCAGGGGCCCAGGAGCCATCAACTATAATGAGCTTACAAGTCAGGAGGTGGGAAAGAAAGGTAACTTTTGGAAGTCATTAAAGTAACAACAGCAACCAAGGGAAGCGGAGTTGAGCCTAGAGGGGCTCCAGAAGTGATGTAGAGGAATCCGAAAGAACAAGAAAAGTGATAAGGAGATTGATCATCATAATTTTATGGAATTATGAGAACTAAAGTCAAGATATATCGATCGATTCCAACCAATTACTGTTATAACTATGGCCTAACAATATGAAGAAAAAGCCGCTTTAATCATTTTTAAAGCTTTATATTTCGTGAGGGGCTTTTGAGCATGACTGCCTTCTTGTCCATTGAGTGACAACGATTTTACTTATTCTTTTATTTTCAAGGTAGATTATATGCGGAAAACTGTTTCTAATAAAGTATATTTAACATTCATTGTCCGTTACATTGAACTAGTTTTCGCTGGATCTTTTGTTGTTGGTTCTTTTCTTTTTGAACTCGCCCCGATTATTTTAATGCGAGCCTTCGTCTGACCAATTTTCCTCGATACAACGCCCATACTGATCGCGGAACGGGACGAGCTCGATTTAGGACGCTCCCGGAATATATAAATTATTAAAGTCGAGGCGATTCAGGTCCTTTTTATCTGCAGAGAATGTATGATATTTAAAAAATATGAATAGCTTCAATTTATCATAATTCTGTACATAAGAGATATCTATTGGACAATCTATTGATTTGTATAGAATACGTTTAAACTTTGGAATATTTTTCTTTTTCTGAGGTTACTCGTTCATAACAATTTATTCTGTAAGAGGTAAAATTTATGCAATCTTTCTGATTTAGTCAAATAATACAAAAATGAGTGAGCATTATTTTTACTAGAAGTAATTTAAATGTTAGAAATGGAAAATAATTCTACTAATATTCTACTATTCTAATTTATGATTTTCCGACACTCGTGCAAATAGCTTTCCGAGAAAGGTAAAATAAGTTGCACAAGGACAGTAATGTTAAATAAGCGCAATGACAGAGACAAAAACTTTCTAAAAGATAATATACTGCGTTCATGTTTCCTCTCTCGTCTACGTACGACAGAAACTCAATTGTTTTATCGCTTGGCGATGTTGATAATGATGACGATGAATACTAAGAAGCAGGGTTTTCTGTTCCCCCGGCACTACAGCATTCTGGCTTATTGTACCTTCCTAATTCCCTAGTTCAGTGCAATCGACTCAATCCTTCTTTTCAGAAGTATTAGGTCATTGACTGTCGCTCTACAGTTTCTTTCCCTAGGTTTTTCTTTATTATAGGTTATGTCTCCAATTAGCGATATCGCATTCGAAGGTGATATTGGTGGCTGTTTTATCGCTTACTTTGCATAAGCCTTTTCCAGGAGGGACGGCCAGAACTGGTCGCTATGGAGTGTCTGGACGAAGGCCAGCTTCCCGTTGACTGTTGGCAGCCGATCGTCAACCAGTACCTCGACCCATTCGCCGCACCACCAAAGCCTGAACCTGAATACGCCCGCGTATCCTTCGCCACTAAAGCTCTGGTCTGCTGGGACTACCCTGTAGAAAAGTCCTTTGCTCAGGTAGAGCACTCCCAAGCAGGATACCAGCCACCTGTCTCCTGGAAACAGCAAACAAAACTAATCAGAAGAGTACATAAATTGGTTCTCATCACACCAAAGCAAACCCTACAATTAGGTTTTTTGATTTAAAAATACTTCTATCAGATCAAGCCAAAAGCATAGAGAGAGAGAGAGAGAGAGATATCTGATAGGTTATTCCCATTACCTTTGCTTCATTATTGCCTGTTAGTTATTGTCAAGTAGAATACAAAATAGCTCCATTATTACATAAGTTCTGATCTAAAAAGCCACCATCAGACAGATAATACGAAATTTGCATCTCTTATGACTGATTAGGGTTAGGTTAGGAAGGGTTAGGAAGTTCGGAAGCAAAAGTCGAAGATAGAACGATATATAGATAAATATAATACAAGATAGATATATAAAGAAAGAAAAAGAAGAAGGGAAAGAGATAGTGAGAAGGAGAGAGAGAGAGAGAGTGAGAGAGAGAGAGAGAGAGAGAGAGAGAGAGAAAGAGAAAGAGAGAGAGAGTGAGAGNAGAGAGCGAGAGAGAGTGATGAATAAATCTAAATACATACATAAAACACTTGGATGTAGTTATAGATTCACATCTCCCTTGTGATGCACATTGTCAATTTGTTGCATCTAAACTTAGCAAACAATTATTTTTACTGAAAAGTCTCATATGTAATGTATCTCAAAGAGTTTTAATTAATGTTTATTTTTCTTGTTTCCAATCGTATATTGTTTATGCCCTTATTGGTCTGGGGTCACGCCAAACTAATCTTCAAAAAACACCGCAATAAGAATTTTAGGGAATGTTGCAGAGAAACATTTACTAAACTAAACATTTAGACTTGATCAGCATATACATCTTACAATAGGTAATGTATTTTTTACAAAGCGAGACTTTAAAAAAAATTAATTCTGTACATAATCACTACGAGAAACTGTAATAAAATAGTTCCTGAGCGGCTGAACCTTAAAAGATGTGAAAACTCTTGTAAATTTATTTAGAAATCGTGAGATGCGGTCTAGTATTCTGGGAATAGGAAGCGGGACTTGTATTCCCCAGGCACTGCAGCCTTCTGGCTTATTGTACCTTCCCAGTTCCCTAGTTTAGTCAATAGACTCAATCCTTCTTCTCAGAAGTATCAGGTCATTGACTGTTATTGCTGCAATTTGGTTCCCTGAGTCTTTTTCGTACGTTAGGTTAAACCTCCATTGAGCTGTTGCTTCGCATTCGAAGATGATATGAGTGGCTGTTTCCTCCTCCTCATTACATAATCTGCAAATGGGATCATCATTGTACATACCCATGTTGTGTAGATGTTTTCTCAGATACCAGTGACCGGTTAGTAGTCCCACCACTCCTCTGAGTTTTGCCCTCTCCAATTGTAGCAGTGTTTTTGCCAATTTTGGTGAGGGTTGTTTCATCATAAGTTTACTATGTCTAGCACCGCTAGGGTTTTTCTAGCTTAGGATCCACTTCTCTCTTTGTTTTGTTTGGATCCATTCTGCGATGGAGGATTCTATGTTTGTTTTTGTTATACCAAGGATAGGTTCGGGGCCTATGTATGGTCTTGCAGATCCTCCTCTGACCAGTTTGTCTGCTTCTTCGTTACCCAGAATTCCCCTGTGCCCTGGCACCCCAGATATCATCAGGTTGTTGTGTTTTCCCAGGTTTTGGAGATTTTGGATACATTCACTGACTAGTTTTGATGTAATTCTTTTACATGCCAATGCTTTAATAGCTGCTTGGCTGTCTGATCTTATGAGGATTTTTTTTTATACTCTTGTAAATACTGGGCTATAAATTTTTTTAATAAGCAATCAAACTGTTACCTGAAAATAATTTAAACTTAAAATAACATAATGCCTTTTATGACTTTGAGGAGTTTTTTCATTATTATGTAGTATTAGTATTAATAGTGGGATAAAAATGAATTAATTTGTACTATTCTTGACGAATGTAATGACAAGACTTGTTTACCCAATACAATAAAACTTTTGTATCTTTGTAACAAATATGAACATCTATTAATTAATTTTGAAACCCTTTGGTGTCAAGTACAACGAAATGAAAAATTGAGATCATATAGCACCAGTTTTCACTGCAACGAGTCATGACTTTAAAATAATTTACGGTTAATTAATTTTGTGACAAGCTTATTTTTCGTTTCAGTTAAAAAATTCAACAGCCCTATTTCAAAAACACTTTTCAATAAATGACCCACATATTTGAAAATTGCCCAACGGCTGTAACATTATTAATATCCGTCCGCGATTGTTAATAGCTTGGGTTGGGCAATAATGATTTACGATCTCCGGTCACAGAACGGAATGAACATTTACGAATGTTTAGATCTTTATAGAAAGCCTATTTAGAAAGTGAAAGACGATCCTGCGACGGAATCGCACCGGGCTTGATTAGAAGAAATAAATGTCCTGGGGTCGCGCGGAAGACGCTTTCACTCTTTCATCCAGAGCAGGCCGGCTTATTCCCAGAATTAAACGGATTATATTTATTAATTCAACCAAAACGAGGCCAGGATCGGCATACGGTGAGAAGACGTGTTTTTTGTTGACGAAAGTTCTGGTCTGAATTATCTGATTTTTTTGTCATTAATTATTTACCTAACTTATTATTATTTACGCGTGTGAACCCCTGCTAACTGGAAAATGATGACGCAAAAAATTGTATATCCGGCTGAAAAACATTTCCATTTTAAATATTAGTTTACCTATTTATTTACATTCCATGTCTCAGTGAAGAACCTCAACCCTCTTGTTTTTGACTACTGCCTAGGAGTTTGTACTAGAATGCCTTGGCCCTGAGGTTTAGCCTAGGTTAAGCCCCAGCCAGTAATAGAAGAGTCGTTATCTTGCTCAAACTGCTTAAAACCCTGACATAGCGCCAATATAACATAATTTTATTTATATTCTTCTTCTTATTATTATTATATAATTTATAATATGCATTAATATTATAATCTTAACACAAATATATACAATTTTTCTTTTTGCCTTCTTATTTATTATCATTTATAGATTAAATTATCTTCGCTGTATTTAGGTTTATAATATTCTAATTCACTTCCTCACCCTCTCTCCCTCTGGATCTATCTATTTATATGCCCATGTATGACCTATTTATTTACGGAAATCGTGAGATGCAGTCTAGTGTGATGTAGGTTTCATAAAAAACATTTTCTTTATCGTGCCAACGTTTCGATCTTTATTGAGATCATCTTCAGGGCCTGGGATTTACAAACATTGTTTAAATTTAACAAATAAATGAAGGATGTGAAAAAAAGTGAATTTATACAATGCAAAAAAATATTTTTTATATTCAATCAATGTACTTCTACTCACTGTATTTCTACGCAGAAAACAAACACTTTGAGTGAGTAGAAATACATTGATTGAATACAAAAAATATTTTTTGCATAGTAAAAATTCACTTTTTTTTCCACATCCTACATGTATTTGTTAAATTTAAACAATGTTTTTAAATCCCAGGCCCTGAAGATGATCTCAATAAAGATCGAAACGTTTACACGATAAAGAGGTTAGGGATGGTTAAAATGTTTTTCTGAAACCTACGTCAGGATTTACGAATAATCATCGACTAACGGTCACTAATCGCCACACTATTTATTTACTTTTCATCTTCTTTCTCTCCCGCTCTATGTCTCTGACTCTCAACTTTCCCCACTACTTCTATCTATTTATCTATCTATTAGCTATTTAGTTACGTTCCATCTCATTATCGATTCATACATTTATCAATTTCCCCCCACTATTTATCTATCTAATTGTCCATCTATAATCTATCTATCCATTGATCGATCGATTATCTAATTATTTACGTTCATCAATCTACGTAATGAAAATCATGCATTCTTTTATTAGTAGGCGTTGTCACTTTTGTTTATGTTGGCATGTTGGCTGGCCAACGCAATTTGTCTAAGTGATATTTATCACAGGTTGTGATCAATCAATAAATCAATATAAAATTATTATTAACGAAGTCATAAGTCTGCACAGGAACTTTTCGCTGGAAACTCGCGGCAAGTGGGTCAGGTGCCGGGGAGAGCAGTTAATGGCACACTTAACCCAGCACCGCATAAGCAGACTTTAACCTTGATTTAACTCTCCAATTGTGTTGGGAAATACTGCCGTTCAACGCTTTTCAACTGTTTTTCCTTTAAACATTTTTTTTAACGATTGTTTTACTCTTCGTTGTTTTTATAAGGACACGTCTAGATTGCTATGTTAGTCTTTAATTTATTAACTAATTATTTAAAGATAGTGAGATGTAGTCTGGTGTGATGTGGGTTAGAAAACATTTTCCCTATCGTGCCAACGTTTGGATCTTTATTCAGATCATGTTCAATTTTTGGTTTAACCAACGTTTTTGTACTCACTCACCCAAAGTGTGTGTTTTTTGAGTCGTGTCACAGTTGTGCATTGTGTTGAGAGTCAGTGAGATTTTAATGTTTTTTGCTTAAATATGTAAACCAAAAAACATTGAAATTTCACTAACACTCTTAACACGACACACAACAGCGACACGACTACACAGAAAACTCACCCTTTGAGTGAGTACAAATACTTTGTTTAAACCTAAAAATTTCTATATTGTGAACATAATTGTATAAATTCATATGTTGTATGTATTAGTATAATTTAAACAATGTTTATAAATCCCAGGCCCAGAAGTGATCTCAATAAATATCGAAACGTTGACACGAAAAAGCAAACGTTTTCCTATCCCACATCAACAGCTATTACAGCAGATGTTTTTCAGCATTACATAATTTTGAAAAGCATACAGGTGAGTTATTAAGAGCCACAAGAACTTTATAGATAAAAAATACAATATTTATGAGGCTGAAAAACGTTGGAGATGAATATGTGGTCAATGGTCATAAAATGATTTGGCCAATCTAGTGCCGATCACCATAATTTAAAGAAAAACCTGACACAGGCGCCCACTGGCTCATGCTTTTCTTTATTTTATTGACGAAGGCTTTTAAAAATATTTCTATGAGGGAATATTGTGTCATAGACGTAAAAACTGAATTTTCCACTTACGAGGCAAGCGACATTGTTTAAATACGTCAAATCCTCCATCTACTACTAAATTGGCAGAAAAACCTCCAAACTTTCAGACTAATTGTTTATATGCTGTGTTTATGTTTATGTGACAATCATCATCTAACATTCTGGTGTCTTCTCGTCTACTTTAACTGATAAAACTATTTAACCAGGTTTAAGGTTTGGCCTGTGTTATAAGCATGATGAGGCGAGAAACCCATCTTTCTTTTTTTAATAGGCATGTCAATTCCATATCTTGTAAAATATAAAAATAAGTACCGTCAGTAATGAATTATAATATTCTGTAGTTTGCTAAATGTATGTAGGTGCGATGATCAATTTTCAAATGTTATCAGTTGACTCAGTCTTGAGTTTTATCGTATCCGACTAAAGGCTATTTTGTAAGTTGTGTAGGTCATGATTTTGAGAACCGGTTCTATGGTGTATGTCCCACGTAGGAATTAGCATAGGAAACTTTCAACACACGCTTGTAAATTCAGATTTTTACTCTTGATCAGTTCTGAAGGCGACTGGTATCAGTAGGAAGAAGACTGTTCAGCTTGAATGTTAACAGTTTTGATTTAATTTAGGAAATGAGAAATTCATACTAATCGATAGCCTTACTTTATGATCCAAGTAGATAAGTGTTGAAGGGTGGACTAATGCGTTTATAACACAGATGAAAATTAATAGAAATGATAAATGATGGAGTGAGTGTGGTGTTCAATACTTTTTAAAAGGATAGTTCCTACTCACAGTAAGTTGTTTTGCACGATCCGGATTTCGAGCCTTTTAGCTCATCATCAGGTTGTAGAAGAAGTTCAACCTGATGATGAGCTAAAAGGCTCGAAATCCGGATCGTTGCAAAACAACTTACTGTGAGTAGGAAATATCCTTTTAAAAAGTATCAGACGAAAATTGTTCCTATGTTTCCGGTACTGTTCTCTTGCGAAATATAGGAAGAAATGATTCACGGCCGTTCGAGTTTTCAGCAGATCTGCAAAACCCGGTCGAGACACGTTTGATAGGGCAGTTCGCTGTCTTTCTACCGTCGATTGTTTCGGGAATAGAAACGTCAATCGGCAGAACGTGTGCTTCGGGGAAAAGGATCCATAAGTTTTCTTTGTTTGGAACATCGATTCAAACATTTCTGAACAAAACTTATAAAAAATCTACGGATCCCTGTGCTTATCTCAGACAGGGCGTGGTCACGAGCTAGACGAATGGTGGCGTGACTAAAGATCCGAGGATTATAGCTAGGATTCTTAAAAAAAAACTTTTTTCTCAGCTATTAGTTCCGCGGGATCGACACGAAGAAAGTATTAAGAACGGGAAAGTGATAAGACAGATAGCAGTACTGTTGAGTGAGAGAAAGGAAAGGAAAAGCGGTGAAGCGGAGTCGGCTAACAAGGCAACCCAAGTAAACAAAATAATTACCCATTTTCCCCGGGCTTATGTCGAATTGTGACGGGGAGTCGTGGACGAAAACAGGCCTCGAGCCCTGGCATAGTTCCTGGAACAAATAAATTCAAATTAAATCAAGAAAATGTAACGGATCTCCATAAATTGTAAGTCGTGTTTTTTGAACAACAAATTATTTATTTGACGATTTGACCGCTTTATTAATTAGAAGCCTACATATTTTACTCGGCTTAGGCCATGGAGATAAACTATTCAAATGACATCCTGTTGAATTTAAATTGCGCCCTGGACGTGTTTATTGTAGAGGTGTCGAAAAAGAACGCCTGATGCCGATTTAAAAAAAATCGCTTAATTTCAAGGTATCAAGTTGCAAATTCTAGTCACGCTCAATAACAGTGCTACCTTTTACATTCTCATAAATTGCGAAGGTCGACATCATACATAAACCGGGTTTGGTTCGAAATACAAACGGAATCGCTATAATTTTGAAACTGAATTATAATTTACTGCTAATAGTTTAATGGCTAAACCGTGATTGTGTTGATGAATATTGATAAGCACAAATTACAGTAGGATGTGTCTCAATATATAACATTAAAATGAACCACCTGGTATTTTAAATTCCAGAAAGTATTAAACGAAATACAGAGCTACAAGGGTAGATGAACAAAAATGAATAAAATAAACCTGTTTGACTGAACATTTTGGTAAAAGCATTTTAAAATATCAAGTTTATTAAAAGGAACCAATTTTTTTGTAAAAGTACAACATATAACAAAGTTTTACGCGATTTTCAGTAATGACAATGTGTGACATATTATCGACGTGTTGTAAAGTTTTTCTCACTCTACTTATATTCTTGATTAACCTCTGAAGATGGCAAGAAGCCGAAATGCATCTGACAGGCCATTACAAAAAAAAAATATACAAACAAGAATGATCAGAAACGGAATAAAACCGGTTCATCACACCTCCGACCCGAATAACACACATTTATCTTAGATATTTTTCCATACATAACAACACGTTTTTTCTCAATTTTGAATTAAATAAAAAAAAAACAATGAAATCTGCGGCTCGGATCAGAAACGTTGCGAAACCAATTCTCTTGCTTTGTCAAGAATGGAAGACGATTATTCTCTGTTATTTGTTAGCTATTCAACCCTTTTGTCTGGCACGTACTACAAAAGGGACTAGGGCACTTGTCCGAAAGCGTAATGGCTTGAGAACACAATGCAAATGGCCAATCTGCCCGTTAACCAGCGTTGAAGCACGACCAGTTGTCGCGTGTTCAAATAACACAATTAGCACAGTAAGGCGAAAGGATACGATGTAAGCAAAAGTTTTGTAAGGGCAAAGTACAAAAAGACTGGCAATTTAATAAAATTCAAATAAAACGAAATTATTCGATAATATTCAATTTTGAATCAAACAGTCTATTTCTGTGTACTTTGTATTACTAACATTATTTTTATAAAATAAATTTCAAAAGGTTCGTAATCGAAAAATCAAATGTTTAGCACTTAAATTTAATTTTACGTGGGAGATAACCTTTATGAAATTAAGTATGTGTGGGGACAACTTTTGTGAAACCACCATTTCTGAAAGTATTTGCAGTACAATCTTAAACTTTGGACTAGAAACACGTATAAATTTACCTTCTAAGTGATTTTTTATGCTATCTGTTTAATAATAAAAAAACGATTAATACCACAGGTTATTTAATGCTCTTTTTATTAGTGTAATAAAATTTTAGTAAGATTAATATTTTATGAGATATAGGGAACTTCATGGTTTAAAGTTGTGAATGATGAAGGGAAGGTAAAATTTGTTATACATCGAACAAAATTAAGAATCAGATTTTGAATAGTAGGGACTATCCACTATTTTATGTTTTCGCCAGACTTCTCATTTTATATACTCTATATTCATTTATTTAAATCTCACTTCTTCGTTTTTCCCTCTTTCCTTTATTGCAAGGAGTTGTGGTTGACAGTTACGAAGTAAGACGTTGTAACAATACTGAGTTATTTGTAGTTCTTATAATTTTACTTATGTTGCTTTAATTGCATGGAAATAATTATTTAACAGAAGGAGTCAAACAAAAAGTAAACAATTGTAGTTTACGAAATTCCGTGGGTGGCCTGGGAATTCATGTTATGTTATCGACTCTGATTAAATAACTGTTGTCCGTCGATGCTCGCTGTTAGCCAGTCCAACGATGTGTGTTTTCACGCCTTGGTTTTCCCACATTTGTCCAATTGAACGGGAAATTTTACAAGAGCCTTAACGACTCGCGAGATGTAGACGAAACGGCCTGAAGGAAGAATTATCGGCGAACAGAAGGCATCCCGCTGTGGGAAATGGGCAACCATCCGTGAAATATAATATAATGGTGTGAATCTGTGGCACACATCTCCGTTCTGGCCCACGGCTGTCCATTACCGCCGCAAGACCTTTCAGCCACCTCCGGGTTAACTTCCTGCGTCTGAATTTAACGATGACGATTTGTTAGGCTTTTAATTGTTCGGCTAAAGTGGATCAAGTCAGAAAACGAGTTCCAAGCATTCACCATTTATCGAACGTGAGGAGTTTGCATAATTGAACGACTTAGGTCCGTTTGATAATAAATTCTTTGAATAATTGGCAGCCCGATGTTTTGACTTCCTGGACCACGACGAAAACTAGTTTTAGAAGAGCCGGCTCAATTAAACGGTATATTTCTCAACATGAAATACGCCGACCCAGTAAAGGACTTAATAATTACAGTGTTATACAATGAGATTGTATAAGATATATTAAGCTGGCCCCCAACAATTTTGACTGCTTCTCGAAAAAGCGAGCTTTCTCAATGCGGCAATGCTGCAATCCGCACTTCTTGAAGCAAAAGAGGCAAGGAATCAATAACAATTTTTTTTCAAATAAAAGAAGAAAAACAGGGAAAAATGGCAATCATGAAAAATCATTAATATCATCGATTGTTTATAAAAGTGCCGTCGAGATCAAAGGGCTAATATTAGCTAGTTTTTCCTTCATTGTCAGTTTTGCCCTGTCTTCCTTTGGTATTTGTCCTATACTGACCTTCACAGTGATTTTTACATTCTTTATGCCACTATTTACTTAGGAAGGCCTTAGGAGAAGGGAATGAAAGCAGCCAAATTGACAAAGGAGAATCTCAGCGAATCCAAGGCCTTCTTAACCGTATAGTAAAATGAATAATGTAAATAGCTCTGTGAAGTTCAATAAAGCACAAACGTTAAATAAAATAAACTGTTCAAAAATAAGTAATTTCAACTACCAAATGAAGAGGAGCTCGGCGGAACTTAAAAAGGCTTCATAACAAAATATGGTAATAAACAAAGTAAAACACACTCTGAAGTCCAACAAACCACGAGTCTCAAATAAAAAAAAAAAAAAGAAAAACAGCCAAATGGCTAAGGAGAAGCTCAGAGAAGCTCGAAAAGGTCTTCATAACAAAATAGTGAAATAAACAATGTACACTGTGAGATTCAAAATAAAGCAAGAACGGTAAATTAAATAAAATGCTTAAAAATAAGAAATGAGGAGGAGCTCAGTGGAACTTGAAAAGGCTCAAAATCTTGAAATAAACAATGTAAAAAGCACTGCTGTGTTAAACAAAGCACTAATCCCAAATAAATGATACAGTGTAAAAAGAATAAAAGAACAGTAGAATCAGTTTCATGCTTTGAACATCAATATGCTGTAAAGATTGATTTTTCCCATGTTAATCCAACGAAGTTCGAAAAGGCCTTTTTAGATAATATTGAAATGAACGATGTAAAGAGCGCTGCGAAGTCCAACAAGCAATAAAAATAATACAGCAATAAAACAACAGAAGTATCAGTTTCGTGTTCGATATATTCAAGATCAATGGGATTTGAGCATCAATATGCTTTTTCCATGCACATCCAACATTATTGTTTTCTGTCTGTTTGAAGCTTGATATTTTTGTTCGATGTGTTGAATTTTTCTGGTCAAAAGAAAATCAAATGCCCCTTAAGGTAAGGATATTGAATATTTCACCCAGCAATCCCGCATACCCGTTTATTTTCTCTACTCGTTCCAACATATCTCATTAATTGATGCTGATGTTATTTATTGTGTTGAAACGCTGTAGTTAGCATGCTGAGAACAAGCTTAAGCACGCCATTTAATCTCTCCAGGACGGCCTATTGTCCCGTCGGACGACTGGAGCTGACCCTTTTGTCGAGTCATATTCCTTCACAATGAAAATAAATGAGGTGCACCGAGGATTTTAAGCGACGGAGAAAGCACGGTACTACCATTTCGGAAATTACGGCGGTTTGAAACCGTAGCCGGTCTTAGGGAAGATTGGCTTCTTTCGGTAAATAGCACTCCGTGAACTTTCCCACTTGAAAACGAGGATGCTTGCTTTTCCTCGCAAGCGAACCACTCCTTTTTTCAGGTTCCGGCCCATTCCCGTCCTCCTCCACTTCCTTCCGATCGTACAAATACGGAGAGAGAATTTTCTTACTTTTTAAATTCTCATGACGACATTTAAATGAATGATTTTCATTTCAGTATGATTTGTACAATGCACTTTTTTTATTATAAAGTTCTAGTTACATATCCTACATACAGCTTTTCATGTAATATTAAGAAGTTTAAGAAAGATTTCTGCGCCTGCGAGTTGATCACCTGTTTTCATAAGCTTTCTTTCTTCCCAAGGTAAGTCGGTTAGAGACAGAAAATTTATTTTGCATAATCTACAGCGTAGGGATGTTGTATAGTTTGTCAGGCGCTTTTTGGCTTCTTCTCGAATGGTTAGGCAGGGATATATACAGGGTGAGGCGTAGACACAAACCGTTAAAGTTAGAAGAAACCGACAGCCGGAGAGAACAGAACGACTAAACTAAAGGTAAAGGCATTAAATAAGCAATCCAGCCTAATTTGAAATTATAGGTTTGAACTTGAATATGATGTAAAGAAATAAATAATTGTTTATTGTTTTATTGCTTTATCTTGCAGTTGCTTGTGCCTTTAAGAGATGTTTGCAGTTTAAGGCACCGACTTCTTTCACTTAAAAACACAGCGACAGAACAATGAACT